GGAAGGTGTCCATTCAAGGTCGTCATCCGAGTCGAGAGGCTTGTCCCTTTCGCTGAACCCCATATCCTCGCAAAGAGATAGTTCATCCCCTTCCCCAAAATGAGCCAAATTCTGGCTTCAATCTCAACGGTCTTGGTTCTGACTCTTTGATTTCAACAACAGGTCTGCGTTCACCTGGCGTTGGAGGAACCTCCGGCGGTGGCGCTGCTTTGGGCACCCGACCCTCAACGGTCTCGGGGTTTCAACCTCCGGCGGCAATGGCCTTGGCGGGTGTACTATGTCCCATGCAGGCCCTTTTGATGAGGAGCTTGGTTCCGCAGCGGGGTTTCCTGATACTGGTGGGTACATTACAGCATTTCCACCCGATAACGCCACCTGATCTGGTTTTATGCCGAATTTGCTATCATTTGATGCCTTTGGCTCACACGCGTGATTGGCTTCCTTGACCCCAGTGGGTGGTTTAAAGTACAAAGTTGTTTCAATGTCCCTTGGGCCGCCTGGAATTTTAGCAAACAGCTCTGCCTCTTTCATTCCTTGCACATCTTCTTCGGCAATCACTTGGCCTGAGTTGAGGCATTTTGTCACACGCTTCACAACTTGGTTCCAAGGTGGGCCGCCGATGGAGGTGCGAAACCTTTTGGCACCTCTTTCTTTTCTTGTCCAAGAAGCAAGGCTTGAAGTTTCACACGTCATAGATGGCACAGTGCTATTGCCTTGATGCACAGGATCAGTGCCCACATCGCAGCTCAGAGTTTTATGTAGAACTGGCACATGTTGAACCACTCTATCCACATATATCTTAGCTGATTCAGGGCGATGGAATGTCACATCCTGAATGCGATCGGCCTTGGTGAAGAATGGCAATTGACCTGGGAACCATACCCAGGGCTTTTGATGCTCATTCACCTGAATACCAAGACTCAACGCAGGCGGACACTCCTCAAGGAGTAGAATGTGTTGCTTCCACTCAACTTCCCTTGCATTTTGATTGCATCAGAACCCTGCCTCAACCCCACCCACAGTTGCAAACCTTCTGCGGTCCTCAATCCCTGAGGCTTAGGCCCTTTGTACAGGTTGTTCTTGTCATGCAAGTAATCACACTTGTCTTTTGCGCAGCTATCAAAGGCGAAGTACATGCGCGGCATCTTCGCTTTCTCTTCCTTTGTACTTGGAGTCCCAGGCATCCCCTTTCCGGTCCCTTTCTGCTGATTTTTCTTCGGAGTTGAGGGTGCGGGGGCAGCAGGACGCTAGCTTGTTCCCCCCTTCTTGGGCGCCTTTTCCCCCTTGTCCTGCTTGTTTGAATCCTTTTTGGATTCACCCCCTTTCTTGGGGTTGTCTTTCTTCTTGGGGTTTTCTTTGGATCCTTTCGGCTTTTCCTTCTTTTCTTCTTTGGTTTTGGCAATGTTCGCATGAACCTTTTGATTTTGGCCACCACCCAACGACTTGTCAACACAAGCAGTATTTTCTTCCACCTGGGCAATGTCAATGGCTTCACCCATTTTCACAGCCATGTGGAAGCTCTCTTGTGAGACCCGGGTTTAGCACACCTGAACTTGTCGATCTGCAGCAACATTAGAGGATGTTCTTTGAGCTCTTCGAACAAGTGAGTCCTAAGTGAGCTTTCGCTCGGACGTTCGTCCTTTTCGAGCGAATTGAACACGAAGTCATACTTAGTCCTAAAGTTCTCCAATGCTTTCGCATCCTTACCCGAGATTTTCAAGGACAACAAGCGATGCTGAGTCAAACAGGTGCCTCTGTCGCGATCGAGTTTGTACCTCGCAAGAACATGCCACAAGAGTACCCTCCCTTTTGGCTGGCGACCCTTTTTCTGAGCTTTTTCCTGCAAAGATTGGAAATCCATGGAAAAGCGAGAACTCCAACAATTCGATCCAACAAAGGATAGCTGCCGGAATCCTTCAACTTTGACACATCGTCTTCGCGGTAGCACCTGTCGATCCATTTGAACACGGGTGCTTCATTGCCCTTTGCCAGCTTGGTGATGTTGCTACACAACTGATTCCTAGTCTCATAAGCCTTGACTCGCATCAGCTTCTTTTCCTACTATCAGCAACAGCAAAATGTGTGATGTGACCCAGGGCTCCTGAACCTTGCTGCCCAGGCTGGCAATGAACTAGGTCGTGTAAGGGCCCAAGCCACAGAGATCTACCATCAAGCTCAAACTGCCGTTGATAGCGCTCACAAGGAAAGAGACGTGGTGGGCTGAAGCCCAAGGTTCCGTGCAACACGCACATGTCCAGATCCAGGAAAAGGATAGGATGCTGATCATGGCAAAACTCAGTTTGACCAAATGCAGCAACAATTGCATATGCTAGTGTCAAAGATCAAGGAACAGGAAGCTATGACTCAAAGCATGCAAATGGTGCTCCCCAGCAACTCGTCCATCATGGCACGGACCAAATTCCACATGAGCAGGAACCGCAAATGGCCGGCGCATGTGGCTCATCTTTGGCGCAGGAACCCTCAAAGGCCGGCACTAAGGATGACAAGTCAAAGTCCGATCGGTGAAAAGCATAAAAGCTCCACCGAGAAGCACCCTAAGGGAAGTTCTGATGTTCAGGAACCAAAACTGGCCGGATCATCGGGGCTTGGGGGAGGCGATGACATGCCAGAAGCACCAAGCCAAGGCATAGAGGCAGCCCTCAGTTTCCTAATCGCTAAGATCGAAAACCTGACCGGGGAAATGAATGATTTGAAGCCACAGAGGACTCGAAGCGCCCATGCTCAGCGTTATGGCGACACATCTAGATCGCGTGATCAGGCCAGTAGCCAGGAAGCACGGCCTTACCCATCCCAGAAGCGCACCTCGATATTCTCAAGAGCCGTGCTAGCCGAAGTAATGAAAGTGAATCTGAGTCTGATGCGAATCCGTCCTCAGGGTCAAAGAGCTCAGGTGGGAAAGGAGTGGATGAGGGTGGAGGGAGTAGCAAAGATTCGTCCAGTAATTCCGTCAAAGCGGTGATCTTTACCGTTTGCTGCTGTTGACTATACACGGGGCTCTGATTGGTCTGATTAGCCTCAATTCCATGGTCTGCCCTCTGATAAGTGCAAATTTCTTGGCTCCATTCATAGATCACTGCCAGATGATGTCATAAGAATTGGAATTGATTCTGCCGGAGAGGTGTGCTGCTGGGCAACTATCCCTTGGGATGCACTCACAACAGGCTGACGCCTTCGAACAGGGCTTTCATCAGGGCCCTATCAACATCCGATTGCGACCGGCTACGTGCTTCCCAATTCGCCATCGCTCCTTTTCCTCACTCTCTCTGTGCAATCTCACTCGTCCAGCCTCCGTGCCCAACGACCAACAATGGGCAGAGCGTCAGCGAACCAACCGAGAATGTGACGCTTGTCGCCCCCGACTGATGGCTTGCGCTGCAACTTCACGTTCGCACAAGGGATCCCCGCTGCAATTGCCTCCTCAATGACTTCACAGCTGTCGTCAATGACAAAGCACTTATGCAAAGGAATCTTCAGGCTTTTGATGGTCGCTATCTTCCCAACTCTGCCAGCAGGTTGCTCAGTTGTAAAAATTGCCGTGAACACGAAGCAGGTCTGATGATTCGCAATAAAGTCCTCGATCAGGTTCCTGCGTGTTGATTCCGCGTGCACATATGAAATACAAACGCAGGGCAATGATGCTCCAAATCAAGCAGCACAGTTGTATTCAATGGCAACTGTGCCTATTCAAGCACTGGTGATAGTCGCAGAACACGATAGGTCCTTTGAGGACCTCCCGGAACCGGCTTGTCTTGGCCTTCACGTAACACCTAACCCGGTCCGGCAGGTTGATCTGAGGCCGCAGAGGCTGACTCCTCCGCCCTCTTCCTCTTAAGCTGCAATTTCTGGCGTTCTTGAACTGCGGAAAAAGACGTTCAGATCATCCTCGGCCTTAAGGAATCGATGCTTCTCAGGGTTGTGCACACGAAGACTCCTTCGCTCGGTGGATTGTGGCTCACCTGGTGCAGCTGGGATGGGTGTGGTTCCCTTTTCAAAGAGCGAATCTCTGGGTCCAAACAACGACAACCCCGGATCTGGGGATTTGATGGGTTTTGGTGGACGCCGTTGCCCCTGGCAAAACAGGAACAGCTCTCTTGTGCAGCAGCTGCAGGGTCTGGCTTGAGTGATCGCGTTTCAAAAGTGTTCCTTTGAGCGACATTCCCGGCTTTTTCAAGAAGATGCTGATGCGGAATGCGATTTTTCAGCGACTTTGGGCACTGAGTAATACAACTCCACCGGCAGGTTCAAGTGCTTAACTCGATCAAGTAGAATTACTTTACGATCCGAGTCCCACCCGTCTGCTGCCAAGACTTGTCTCAGTATTGTCGCCTTCTGACTTGTGCCCCTCTTACCAGATCTTTGCCACTTCAACAGCTCCCACAAATCGTCCGGAATCGGGAGGTTCGCCGGCCGTGGCTTCGCAATCCAGTACCAGCTAAGAGCCGCTTACGGCTGATAACCAGCTGAATCAAGAATAGAACAGCTCGTTGTAATTGATTCAAGCAATCCCAAACTCGATCCAAGTAATGTCGCTACCAAGAGGTAAAGAACACCGCGCGTCGTCAAGCAAATGGCGGACGCACTCCTGTTGACCCTTAGGCAGCTTGAGCCAAACGCAGGTGCGTTTGGAGGATTGGTACCTTTTAGAGAATTGAAACACATGACACATGCAAACTGTCATGGTTGCAAAAGGAATGAACCTCATGGATGAAAGCTTTGCTTAACCACGAGTTCATGAGTATGTGAAACGGTGGACAAACAACGTCTACATGACGATTCCGCCCACTCAAAGAATCCCTTTTCAGCTAAGCATGCCACATGAAGGCTATTGACTGGACATGTCTTGTAAGTGATGGTGAATCATTGGCATCGCACCCTGTCAAACATGCATATTGTTCAGTATTCTTCAACTGAGACTTCATATATAGAACATCGGGTTGGCTCCAAACTTAACACCAACGACTGGCAAGTAGGAAATTCAAGCACTGGTCGCTAGTGGGTGCTGCGCAGTGAGCAGAAACTCTTCATGCCAACTGAAACATTGTGCGCTGCTGGTGTGAGAAAAGTAGAACTACGATAGCGTCTGGGGTGGACGATACTTGCGCTCTTCCAGCAAGGCATCCACCTCAATCACATCACGTACCGCACATATCAAACACCATTGCTGGGATCACTGCTGGCTCTTTCAAGTACTTGGCCTTGGCAGCGGGCGGCTCTTCTCATGCAGCACAATAAACTGGAAACTAGCCACACCTTCACGCAAGCAACACATATCCTCAACTTTCATGGATCACGCTTTACTGCACAGTACGACCTCAGCCACGACTAGATGGCGTGATTCTTACACCGCCATCTTTTTCTTATATAGTTCCTCATATGTTACGACAGCATGGACAAACTTCTCAACTTTCGCATGCCCCTCGGGGTCTTGGAGACGGCTGAGTCGTCTTTGCATTGGGATGTGGGGAAGGAACGGGCCGAATCGGCTTGCCATACAGGGTCGTGCAACGGGTAGCATCTTGAACACTTGCTTTTGGATGTTTTCTCATACAAACACTCATCATGCCGCTGTCGAGCTGGCTCGGGCACGTCACGTGGAGTGCAATCTCAAGAAGTTATGAACGCAAGCGACACCACCCGCTGCAACATGCAATGACACGTTGATCTTGGAATCCTGAGAATCATTATCATGATCGATTTGCTCAGTAAGCCAGCCGAGGAGCAAAAAAGGCATTCGATTTCAATGCGGTCGAATTGGTGCGCTCCCGTGGGTCCTGCGGTCAACACGGAACGCAACTGGCAGTCTCATTCTCTGTGAGCGACCGGAACAAAGAAAGCAAATGAAAGCAAGCACACTGCAGCACACTCAAGTTGAATGGGCCAAGAATCTGAAACGCGCAACTAGCTGGCAATCGCGCTGGTGGTTCAAAAAATGGTCAACCAAGGCTTGGGCAGCGGTCGGCGCTGCGCATCCCAAGTCACGGCGCTTCCTCTCTTCTTTTTTTTTACCGGCAGCAACTCAAGGGTCCGAATGGCGCGTCGAGTCATGGCGGCATCAGAGACTGTGCGTCAGCTGGCCTACGCTTAGGTCTGTGCGCACTAGATTCACACGCCCTTACTTACGAGTGCATGTCACCATCATGAAACTCTATGTCGCATCTTGCTCTGGTCGATCACGTGAAATCGATCACCACGAATCAGAGTTCTGGAAATCTGGAAGCGCTGAATGGTTTGCTCGGCACTTCCAAGTCCAAGTTACGCTTCGGACCCGGCGATTGGAACACATCTTCACTTTCAACTGAGGCACCGTTAAAAGAGAGTCATCCCAATCACGTTGGTTAGATCTGTGCGCCAGTTTATGGCGTAATCCAATTAGAGGCATATAAAAGCCACTGTTTTGGCGTCCATCAGATCTTGACACTTTCACTGCAACCCTAGGCCAAATCAGGGCGCGCGTGTCGCGCCACCCGCTGCTTGGTCAACGTCCGCGCCTTCTCTTCCAGGCGCTCTTGGTCTTCCAGTTGTGACACGGGTTCTGCCCGCCTTACTTAAGTGACACTGATTCCGAAGGTTTGATCGCACGTTTGGGCGTGGCCGTCGCTGCGCGGCCAACCGCTTTGCTTGTACTACGGCAAAGGCGGTGGCGTCAGTGGCTTCACCTGGCTAAGCATCCTCTTCGTGGGCACTCGGCTTTCTCAGGATCATCGCGCCCTACATCTCTCCAGGACGATCGCAAAGGTGGGTCCGGCCATGGAGCTCTATCAGGCTTCCGCGCTCCTTGAACGCAGGCGCCTTCGCGTGAGTCCTGATCAGTTGCCGGCGCCCTCTCTTCGCGCCGTCCTACTCCAGCAGCATTGCCCATCTCCCCAGCTTGTCTCGAGCCGCTGTGCTTTCAAAGTCTTTAGCAGGAAGACGATCTTGCAGATCCGACTCAGCAGCTGGACACCTCTGGCTGCCAGAAAGGCACCTTGCTGAGGGCTGCGTTTGTCAACTGTCTTCGCTGCGCGCTTCGGGCGACATCGTAACGGCTCCATCGCCGTCATCCTCGGGTGGCATCGGGGTCTCTTCTGCAACGGAGTCTGTGGCTTCTGCCGTCTCTCCGAGCAGGTGACGGGGTCGATTCTGAGACTGAGGTGGAGCTGTCTAGCAATAAGCGGGAGTTCCGGGCGATGTTGCGGCTGAAGCAACGCACGCAACGGCAACGATCGGTCGCGCAACTGCACAGCTTCCTATCATTTTGCACACCATCAACTCAAGGGGCCTTATCCCGCGCCAAGCAATAGTGACAGCGGAGTCAACGTGCACCAAATACGGAAGATTTACGCTTGTTTTAACAAGAAGGAAGGCGTCTTCTTCGACGCATTGCCCTTTCAATCCATGTCACTCTGTAATGCTCTATGATGGTATTGAATGCAAGAGGGGCAAACAGTCAGTTGCATGGCAGGAACGTCAGGTGAAACAGTATCCGCAAAAGCATCAGCGTCGTAACATCGGCAAAGTCCACAAACATGTTGCAAACAACTGAAGAATCCAGATGCTTCAATGACAGTAAGCCACTACGCACCGCAAAGGCATCGGCACCAACGTGCATAACGAGCTGATAGCAACCGCACGCACATTCAAATGCCAAAGCATGTCTGCCGGTGTCTTTCTTTACACTGCATCTATGGCTTAAGTATACAAATTAATGCCACCACGCCTCTGACAGCAAAATTTTGAGAAGCGGCATGACCACTGTTTCTGGCCTGCAAATTTGGGCGCAAGCTGAGCTTATGCCCTGCCAATCTTGAGGGCAACGCCGTGCCCATTTCACTGTTAGGTCCTGCGTCGCTTCTGTGTATGGCCACAGTCATGCACCAGGCAGTGTCCAGTCCTTTTCCGAGTCCCTCAATTTCTTCTTCCTTTGCAAAGCAGGTGAGCAAATGCTTGGACATGACGAGGGGGATCACAAAATCTCTCCGGAGCCTGATTTCCTAATGTCACATTCATAATATAAAGCATAAATTATTGAATGATGCCAAGTGTCAGCTGCCCATGGTTCTTCGGAGGCAGCCGATTCTTCTGCCTGAAAATCTCCAACCCTCACAAATCACTTGCACATCGTGCTTGCGGTGGCTTGCACGAACCCGGACAAAGCAAACGCAACTCAGCCGAGTGCATTGGATTGCGCTGAGAAGTCTCTCCACCACTTACCAGCATGTAAAGCAGCACACCATAGGAGTACAGGTCAACTGCATACGTGTACCTGAAGGACAAACTAATGCCAAGTATGCAGTATGCAAAGATTCGAATCAAGATTCGTACGCAAGAAACGGCAAAACTGGCAGGAACTCATCACTTGCGCGCCCTGCCTTCCTGCATTCAGCATGATCTCTGGTGCCGCATAGCCGTAAGAACCACACCTGCTCATGTCACACTTGCAAGGCAACTGCTCTGCAAGTCAGCTGCGTCCCGGGCATGGTGTTTGCATCGCCTCATTTCCAGCTCCAATGCATGGGCAATGAACAAACATCATTTCTTGCAAACATGATGCTAGCGGTGTAGAGTTTCTTTGCCAAACCGAAGTCTGTGACCTTGGATCACATCAACATCGCAAAACTCCCTTGCAATGACATCATGAGGGACTGACTTTGGCTCGAAAGCTGGAGTCAACAACTACCTCAGCAACGCACAGGTGCGCTGTAGGTGGCATCAGGTTGCTAGCAAGTGGCAAACGGTTCAGGCTGAAGCAGAAAACATCACGCTACACAATCCAGTGGAATGTTGTTTGTGAACGGGTTGCACGACGACACTAGCAGTTGAGCGCTCAGGTGGTATTATGTTGAAAGCCTGCAGCGATATGTTGGGTCTACAGGTCGGGGTTTGTTGCGCCCGGAATACAACCGAACGCGTCTCTGAGCAGATTATATATGTGATTGAAGGATCATACAGTACGCGTGGGAAACACGACCGATCCCGTCGGCTGAGTTTACTTGATTGCAGCAGGCCTGGCCTGCTACAAGATGGCTTGAAGCACCTCTTCTTGGAGGCCCAAATTCAGAAAACTCAGCTTCTGAATTTTGAGCAAGGTTCTCTCCTGCATGACAAGCTGACACAGGATCACACGGGTGCAACGATGTCAGCCACTGCAAAGCTATGCTCTACAAAACACTCCAATGCGAGTGGTGGATGCAATTCAGAATGAGCTTGAACACGCTAGCATTGACCCGAATTATATAGAATGCAAGCAAACATGTGCCAGCTTGTCTCCACCAACAAATATGTCCACGGTCGATGTGCTTGAAAATGCGGCGAGCATCACCGGGACAGGACGGTAGCATCTGCAAGATGCAGATTGTTGACGGGTGCTTACGCTGTTGCCCTCAAATGTCCACATGTCGTGCTCAGCATGATGGGAACGCTTACATTTTGCCCACAGTGTACGACAAATCAACACGCGCTCGTTGTGGTACTTGATCGCTTGTATGTTTCCCATGGTGGATGCAGTCCAATTCGTGCTCACCGTGACAGGAATGCTAAAGTGGTCAACACAATCCCCAATTATCGTAGTTGCACTCCGAAACGTGTTCGTTTGGTGGATCAACACGTGGAGCGCCATATTTAGAGCATGGTGAACTCACACAGTTCAAGACGCGCCAATGTTGCCCTTGTGGTACAAAACACCCTCAACATGTCTGCACCGCCAAAAAACTCCGTGTTCCAACACCTTCGGAGAAGTCTCACGCAGCAGGAAAGCGTCTGCTCTGATAAGGACAGCAAAATAGCAAACTGTTCCAGCGGCAGGTGTACATTTTCAGCTATGAGCTGTGAGAGGAAGAGCTGCTAAAAGAAACACGTGCGCGTTGGAGAGCTTCAACAAGCAGGCTTTGTGGTAAAAGGTAAGCTGTTGGCGAAGAATGACTGCCCATCACTGCCAGTAGCAAAAGCATGCCCTTAGTTGCAAGTTGTAAGCAATGGCAAAGGCGTACCAGTCGGACCGTGTCAAAAATGGTCTCTTTGGAAACTGTTATTAGGCACAACAAGCCAGACAAAATCACAAGAAGCTATGCAATCCCCACGAAAAGCTTGATCATCCTCAACAATCCGGGAAAATCCCTACAAAGAGCTGCCCCGCCCCCCCCCCCCCCCCAACAAACAACGCACTGGCCAGCTCTGCAAGGCCCTCATAACAGCTGCTTTTCCACTCAGATCAGAAAAGTGTGTGCAGCATTATGATCCTCATCACAACTTGTTCGCAACTGTTTCCCAACTCGTTTCCAAGCGTTTCCCAACTTGTCCCTAAGCTTTTCCCAACTTTTGTCCAACCTTTTCCAACTTTTCCCAACTGTTTCCCAACCCGACCGTTCCCAACTTTTTCCCAACCTGTTCCCACCTTTTTTCCCAACCTTTTCCCAACCTTTTCCCAATTTGTTCACAATCTTTTCCCAACCTGTTCCCAATTTGTTCACAATCTTTTCCCAACCTGTTCCCACCTTTTTTCTCAACCTTTTTTCCCAAACCTTTTCCAAATTTTGCCGAACCTTTTCGCAACTGTTCCCCAATCTTTTCCCAGCTTTTTCCCAACCTGTTCCCAACCTTTTCCCGCAACCTGTTTCCCAACCTTTCTGCAACACGTTTCTCAATTTGCTCCCACAAAAAAGAGTCCTCAACATGCCCACATCAACGGATCACGCACACATTCACGAGCTGCTACCTGTCTTTCAAGCATTCTATCTCCTCTACATAAGACCAAAGGTGAACGGAATAAGAAATAGAGAGATAACAAATGAAGATAAAGAGAGAAATCACAAGATACCAGCAGAAAAGGAAGGTTAAACACAATTGAAGACATAGATGATTACCAGTGCCCTGATGATGAACCCAACTCCGGACAATTCCTTGGTTCTGGTCATACTCCCAACCTGCTTTCTGTGGATTTTATGCAGCCTTGAAGGATTAACACATTTCACTGGAAAGACCTCATTTTAAAAGGCCCGAATGGTTATTAAAAGATAATGAACAATAAGGCAAGCAGCTCATGCGTCAGCACTTGATGCGATACTCCTGAATGGTCGTCAGACCAGCGTATGAACAAAAGGCGACGCAGGCTTCTGCCGCCAACTGCTGCAGTTTCAACATGCTCGCGATGCCAGCACCCATGCACTCGACTTGCCGGAACAAACTGTAGGAACTAAGCCTATTGCATTCTCCAGCTTCAGGTCACGGAAAATGACTCTGATGCCATGCAGGTGTTCCAGCCTGCAATCGTTGCTCTGGCCGTGGCAAAGGACATGCGGAGATCAGAAGAGCCGCAAATCTACACATAGTGCCGCACGCTAGCAGTACTTCTCCAGAAAATCGAGCTGCGTCCTGTAAAGTTGACTCAGAGTGCATAGCTGAGCAGCCTCGTAGGACAACTTGCAACGCCAGCAACAGGCCTCCAGCAACAGTCCAGGAATACCGTGCTTTATCATGCATGCCTGGCAGCAACATACGCAACATTATGCAATGTGAGTCGATCAAACGGGCAACCTTCTTTTGTCAACGCCCTGATCGCTGCATGGCGGGCCTGAAGGTCACCATTCGGACAGTAATCCATCACCAGTGCCTCAAGATGGGGCCACAGTGAATAGAATGCAAATACGGTGTACTATAATCAATACTGCTCTCAGGCCTGATGCATGTGACTGCTGTTCTTGTGAAATGGCAAACGGGTGGCGCACAAATGGGCAAGGCAACAATTCAAGGCTATCTTGGGATCTGACCCAAAAGTATGAGCATTGAAAAGCGAAATGCAGTTGGACCACGAAGGGATGCCTAGCCGGAAATGCTGTGCGTCAACGTCGCAGTGCTGACACGTAAATCTGCTCTTTCGCACGCCTTGTGGTTCTCCTTACAGTGCATCAGGTAGATTGCACAAGTACTTGAGGCTAAAGCGCTATTCGGCAAAGCTTCAAAATGAACTGCTCGCTGTGCGCTTTGCTCGTGATCTTCTGGGCTTTGAATTTGGCCTTTTCCATCGTCTTCATGGCCTGGGCTGCTCTCGCTCAGAGTTGCTAGATCCAACGCCTTTGCGAATAGCCAGCCAACTGCACGCACATGCCAATGCTAAGCATCATCCGCCGAGATTTGGAGGCGTGTGGGACACGTGCATAGCTAACCCCCCAATCTCGTGCCCTGCCAGAGTTGACGACATTCGGTCTTTGTGAGGCAAGCTTCCCCCTTTAGAAACAGCTACTCAGGGAGGCTTGACGGCTACGCCACGTGGAATCTCTTTGAGTTACGCTGCGTGAAGAAACGCCGTTACGCCGCACTAACAAAAGCGATATACACTCGTAGACTCGCCGGAATGTCGGGACGGGCCCCGTCTTGACAGGACGGGCTCCGTCCTGCAGGGACGGGCCTTGCGTCCTCAGCTTCCGTGCTGAGTGAGTGAGTGAGTGAGTGAGTGAGTGAGTGAGTGAGGGAGTGAGGGAGTAAGGGGGAGTGGGGGAGTGAGGGATTGAGGGATTGAGGGATTGAGGGAGAGGGAGGAGGGAGTGAGGGAGTGAGGAGTTAGGGAGTGAGGGAGGGAGGAGTGAGGGAGTGAGGGAGGGAGGGGTGAGTGAGCCAGTCAGTGAGTGAGTGAGTCAGTGAATGAGTGAGTGCAAGGCTCGTGCCTTGCTTGATGTATACATATGGGCCCAAGTTCATTCTTGCCACAAAAAAAAGACCTCGCTGCGCTGGCTCCCAGCACTTAGTCGTTTGTATTGAGCCTCTCTTTTTTAGGGGTCAGGTGCCCATCATCACGATGTCATCAGATGAAAAAGGCCTCGTGGCTTGTAGCAGCGCAGGCTGACCTATCGGCAGTCCTGAAGATACACTAAATTTATCGATGACCGCCAAGCGGCCGCCAATGTGACGAAAGTCAGCTGGCTTGGGTGCGAGGAACCTACGGAAGTCAGCTGGCTTGGGTGTGAGGAACCTATTGGTAACCACCACCGTGGTATCAAAGCGCTAGTGCCTCTCCTTAAGAGCTGGCTTGTGGGAGACACGCTCATGCGTCGAGAGCTACTCGACAATCAGCAGAAGGAGTCAACTACTTCTTGCAAGAACACGCTGAAGCAGTACTTCCTGAAAGGTACGACCAACATGTATCTTTATCGACTCTTCAGTTTCTTCAGTCATAGAAGACACGGTGCAGAGTTTCTCGTTTTGCACTGACTAAAAGCAGCATGGAATGATCTGATGCCCTTCATCCCGGCGCAATTGTCAGAATATATCAGAAGAGCCGCGCAGTCTCAGCAACCGACTCAGGCAAGTTTGAGACAGTACGTCAGTGGAATGCAAGTGAGACACCGTGTCGCGTTTCCACTCAATGATGGCTGCAAGCGCTACAGAGAGTCACGGCTTGCAAAGACCTCTACAAGCAGCTTGAGCTGCTGAAGAAAAGTGAGGAAGGAAGACATGACAAAAAAGTAAGTTTTTGAGATGAGAAGCCACCACCATGAGATGAGAAACCATGAGACGAGGCCTTGTACACTAGCGCTGCTCTCCTGCAACACAGCAACAGGGCTGAGAAACCAAGCCAATTGAAGCCAGTGAAAACAGAGCTCATTGAGTGGATTCATTGATGTGTTCTGGAACATGTTAAAGTTGCGCAAGTCTGGATAGTCACTCGGGTGTAGTTTTGCTGGGGAATTGGTTCTGTAGCGCTTAGCAGGGCTTCCCATGCTAGTTGGTGGCTGAATAGCCAAAGGGGCTATGTGGGGTCGGTGGGTAGTCTCAAGCAACTTGGTCGAGCTGGCGCTGGCTGGATGGCCACAAGAGTTTGGGTAGCCATGTCAAAGCCTGTGTTATGTGGTGTTTTTAGCTGGCTGGATAGCCGCCAAATGAAATCACAGATGTTCCCACAATTCTCAAAAAGCTGCAAGCATCACATGATAGCTATAGCGTTTATACACTTGCAGCCCAAAACATTCGTCGGAGATCAGGGCTTCATGACAGACACATGGGAACATTTTTGTCAGTCCCTTGACATCCCACCGATTTCGCTGCGGCCGAACACACCATGACCGAATCGAGCGGAAACAGCAGTACGACTCTTGAAGGCGCAAGAGTCGACAGAAGTAAGAGCTTTTCAGAAGCAATTCAGAAGCAAAGCTGCTCGAGTGTAAACCATGGCTTGACAATGAGGTGTTTGATCTTGTTGACACTGGGAAGATCAAGGTCAAGAACTGGGATACCGGTCGTTGGGCCCTCACCCTCCAGCGAGATAAGGACGGGATTGAAGATCAAGGCTCGGTGGGTCCTCAGAGGCTTCCAAGACAGATGTGACCGAAGGACGACCAGCAAACCTGGCAATCCAAGCAGCTGCGAAAAAGGGCTGGAATGTTTTGCACATAGCTCTGAAGACAGGCTTCCTCCAAGGAGAGGCATATGATCAGACCAGAGACATCCCTTGTCAGACCCCTCCTGAAACGGGACACCCGCCATACATTGGCGCAGGGATGAAGAAGCTTGCCTATGGGCTGAATGACACCGGAATATCCTAGACTCGGCACAGGTGCGCCAACAAGAGCAGACTGGTGTACATATGTATACTATGGCAAGATCCTTCCCCGATCGGCACCGACCAATGAAAAGAAATCATCAAACATACTTGGTCTTGAAGGAGCTGCTGATTACCTTATGGACCCTGCTTCTGAAACAATGCTCAGAATCATTAAGTTCATGGAGATCTTTCTCTTCATGTTGATAATCGTCTTATGGTTGGTGACGATGAGTCTGAGAAGGGATTAATTGGCCGACTATGAAAGGACTTCCAAGTTGGCTTAGAAGATAAGACTGCTTGCCGAAGAAAAATGAGAAGCACGGCTGGCACAACGTCCGTCAGACTGTTGCCATTAATCTTCAGGAGATCCCCTTTGACAAGTTTCCCCGAGTTTGTGTTCCATCAGTGCTGGCAACTTTGCTTGACCATGCATGAAGCTCAAGAAGTTTGCGTCTGCGTCCCCAGCCACCTAACTACTCGAAATACCCGACTTTCATGATGATTTACAAGATGACCACACCTTCGAGCAAGAGACGTACCTCGCCACTCAGGCCCTCGCCTGAACCCGAGAAGACCAGCATCTGGAAAACTCGCTCAAATCCCCTGTTTCACTAGACATTGGTCAAGTTGCCCCAGCCAAATTTGGCCCTAGTCCACTTCCACTGCCCTTCTGTGGCTCTCAGATTGCGGCTCTCGCCAGAGCGGCTGAAGCCATATACAAACCAGCTCACCTATGTCGGTGCCGGTTGACTCACTCAAACAAACACAACATTTCAAAGCCAGCCAAAAGCATACTGGCCGAGGCGGGCAGCGCGAAGCGTTTACAATCACCTTGTCTTGATCCCCTGTTATGCTGTTAAACTGATAGATTCGGGGTAGCCTTTTTCATAGGGCGTTGAAGAGGGTGCTGGAGGGGGTGCGCGGGATGGGGAGTGGACACTGGAAATAGCATAGGCGCCTGCAAAATGGACCTTACTCTGTTTCAGGCCACAGGCCAGGGCGCAGAAACGTGTTGCAAGCTTTGGCTGCGTGCCGGAAAGCACAGCAAGAGAAGCGCCCATTGAACACTTTGCTTGGATGGGCTTGACAATCCCCCGCAAGCCGCTGTAGCGGCTTCAGCGGCTTCGGACGCACCTGAGGGTGCTTGAAGCAAAAGCGTAAACTTGCTTCTCAATCGATTCTTACAGGGTTCGTGTCAAAGGGCTTGTTGATTGTGATCTTAAATGGTGTAGATTGCTTTCCGGATCTTATTCGGCGCTTCTGGCGACATCTCACTTGCGACCCTTGAATGCGGCCCAGAACCTCGTTTTGGCTTTAATGCAGCTGGCTTGAGTGTCGCAACAAGTCTTTGGCTTGCAAGCAAGTTCAAACAGCCAACAACGTTGGAACTCGCGATTGTGACGTAGAGCTGCTTGACTAGCGCCAAGCTGGGTAAGCAGAAACTGAGGGTCAAAAACAACGCTGATCCCACCACCAGTGCGAATGCCGCAACGAAGTTTAGCTTGCGTGTTGACCCAGGCTGCGACCATGATGTGCAAAAGCTCACGGGTCTATAAACAATACAGAGTTGTCCAAGGCTCGCGCGTACAACTCCCCAGTCTCTTTGTGTCTCACCAAGACAACCTGCACGTGGGCACAAGCTGCATGCGACTTCGGCTTGCAGGCCAAAATCCAAACACCTGGCATGACTGCGCAGCTATGCGTGGAAAGCAGGGTTATAGCCAACCCTCATACGCAATAGAACTCGTTGCAATTTGCAATCCCACCTTTCCGAAAGCGCCCTCGCCAAGGAGGCGCATCTCTGCAAAGTCCTAGTGACCATTTTCCCGCACAGACTCAGCCTGGGCTCTTGGTCCTCAATGCTGACAGTTGGTGTCTCCGAGTCATTGAAGCCTGGGCTTAGCGCATAATCTGCAACTGCGACATCAATTGCGTGAATGTCTGAAAGGTCTGAATGCAACCAGCGCCTTTCTCTGCATCTTCTGCAATGGACCCTAGGAAGAATCTGCTCACGGCTCCGAGACCTGGAGGCCAAACTGCGGGGCACTGTTCGACAATCTAAAAGCGAAAGGTCGCTGCCAGCACTCAGCATGAACGAAGACAAACCTGGTCGGTGAGCAAAATTGTCAAAAGTGGTTCTGCATCTTGGTTAGCTCTACACTTCCACTATTGCAAATGTGCCAAGCCGCCACAATTGGTAACCGCAAGTGGAGCATCTGTCGACCTTGTAGGAGCAGAACATTGCGGTCATTATTGTCAATGCTGATGGCACTGCACGTGGATGGGCCAGCATGCGGGGGCGCACACACACACACACATACACGCACAAAGACAGACTCCTGGACAGGTGATTGGTTGCCTCACAGCTTCCTCTGGGCCAAAAAGCAGCGTTGATTGTACTGCAATTACACACACAGTCACATCCAAAAGCTTCCATGGCTCGAGCTTCAACGTGCTGCAGTAATCTAACTTGTGTATTCGAGCTCCGTGATAGAACGTGGACCACTCAAGCGTGTTTGTTTCTCGCTTTTAGATCTAAGGCCGTGGCACTTGCATTCCCGTGCCCTGCGACGCCCTGCAGGGAAGCCAAGGCAATGTTCTCTGATTCTGCAAGGATCACGTCATAAACGCATCGATACAAGCATCTGGACTCAAAGCCAGTGCGGCCTCACAAAGTTCTCCTCGGCTCCACGCGGGACAGACCTTAGCATGATGTTTTAGGGGACGACCGATGATGACTGGGCGTGCGTTGGGCAGCCGCCCGCTTTCTTGCTGCAACGCGAGATTTGAGGCTTTCAGTCCAGGCATGCGGCATCAAGGGTACGGAGTTCTCTGCGCTTGCTCGCCTTCCACGCAGCTGACAAGAATGAAATGGTGCTGTGCTCTTCCTGACGGAGCCCCCAAAAACAGAAAGTCTTTCCAATGTGGCTCTCGAGGCCAGGATGACAAAGGGCGAAGACGGCACGCCCTGCCTGGGCGCCTCAGGAGCCTCAGATGCAAGCAGCAAATTGGTATGGCTCTCAATGGCAATGTGCTCAGCATGTCATGCAGGATTGACCTGGGAGGGTATGTAGGCAGCGACGCGGCACGAATCTTGTTACAACTACGTGAGACGAGGTCCTCGCTACTTCTGCAACGGCAAAGCAGCACAGTTCCGGCTCGAGGTCGCAACTCTGCTCTTCAGTACGCGAGTGTGGTGGCGCAAGCTCCGCAGCTCCAGCTCGAAAGTTGCATTCAGCGCAAGCCGGGTGACGGCGCCAAAGAGGTCGCAGGACACTGGCTGGGGTTGGGTGCAACTTGGTATGTAACGATCCTGGAATGCAGTAAGCAACAGTTGCAGCACAAAAAGTGGATTCTTCAACATTTCTTCTTCTGAAGGACAAGCTCAAGTTGACTCTGGACAGGTATGACCAGTAAAAGCATGCTCTGCTAGCACCCTAGGTATTCATCAGGGTATGCAAGGTGTGTAACGAAGGTATTCGAGCAGGGGATGCGCAATGAGCCAGCAGCTCTTGTTCTGCATAGGGTATGTATATAACGGGGTATGTAACATATGTCCACCGTGCCCCTGTGACATGTGACATGCTGTCTCTGCGCAATTGTCTTTGCGCCCAGCCTGACCTGAATCGAACTGGCTCCCGCACCTCCGTTAGGCTCGCAAAACATTACACCGGAAAAAGCAAGACAGGCTCTCTAAGAACAGGCAACATACGGCAACATGCTCTTCTCGTTGAGGTAACAAGACCCACACATCAGAGACCAATTTCACAGCTGGCGAGCAGCTAGATGTTATCAAGCTGCAGTGAATACACACTGCCAAAGCAACACAACTCAGGATCCCTGCCTCTGTCGAAAATCTGACATTTCCTGGGCTGGCTCGGGACTGACCTGTGCCAAATCCAGTTTCCATATGAGTAGCTTGTCATCAGGACGCACTGCGACCAACACTGGCGGAGTTTTGGGCGGTAACAACCCCATCGCAACAGATGTTGCAACACCATGCCCGCTCAATCCTACCCAACCTGCCTGAATGCCTGGTGACGAAGAGCCTGACCTAGCAATCAGCTTGTGCACATAGCGTCGATCATTGCGTGGCTAGAAGTGCGACATAAGGTCCGAGCTCGTCAGCGCTAGCTCTAGCGTTTGCCAAAGAATTGGGGTCAACCTGCTCCGATACAACACACACTCAACATGACTATCTGAAATGGGACAGCCATGTCTAATGCCTCTGCAACTCTGAGAAGGTCAGCTACGGCACACTCTGCGCTGTCCCGGTCGAAGCTAAACTTGTCGGATGGCGCACCTGTGGATGGGCAAAAACAATCAAGCTCTTTGCTGCCTGAGATTGCATGAGTCAATGAGATTGCATGTTCTCTCAAGCCCACACTCTCTGCCGATTGTCAACTTTGACGTACAAGGCCCGGGCACTCTGCAGGAACAAGCCCCTTTTTGTTCAATATCCTAGCAAACCGGCCGAAAGCGCAAGTTGACAACCCCCCCATACGGTATGTGCGGGAGTTGCACACCAGGTGGAGTTGTTGTTTTTGTTTTTTTTAAGCCCTGGTTTTTTCCTAACCCTGGTTGGCTGGCTGGCCGCATCCCCGGCATCACCAACATCACTTGGACCTGGGGTTGCCTACTGGGTGGTTTGGGGTTGATTTAGGCGAAGCGAAGGGCTGACATCCAGGCTGCTGTTGGGCGGGTTTAGGGTTGACTTTGAGTGGGTTTGGGGTGGCTTGGAGCTGATTTGTGTTAGGTGTGCTGCTGGTTTAGCAGCGGCTTAGAGTTGCTTTAGGGTGTGGTTAATAGATTTGGGGCAACGCTCCCAAACCAACCCAAAACTAGACCAAAACTAAAGCAACTCTAAAGCCAACCCTAAACCCGCCCAACAGCAGCCTGGATGTCAGCCCTTCGCTTCGCCTAAATCAACCCCAAACCACCCCAAGACCCACCCTCATGAAGCCAGCCAAAACCCCCTAACTTAAACCAGCCCCCAGCAACTCCCAACTGCCACCCCATCAGAGCCAATAGGCAACCCCAGGTCCAAGTGATGTTGGTGATGCCGGGGATGCGGCCAGCCAGCCAGCCAGCCAACCAACCAGGGCTAAGGGGGGACCAGGGCTAGGCAAAAAAAACACCATCTCCTGCAAACCAAAAGAAACAAAATAATGGTCGAGCAGTCGGGGGAATGGCTTGATACTTGGCCTGGGCTCCAAAAATGCTGGTAACTTTTGCTTCAACCTGTTGGAACCCACTGTGAATCTCAACTTTCTCAACCCTCCCAACCCCAAGCCTACACTTCACTTCAACTCCGGTTAGCACTCCCACCAACGCCATGTCCAACTCCGGAGACAACTCCAGGACCGAACACTCCCGGAAGCTTCCAACTCGAGGTCTCTCCCTCAAACTGAGTAAGACTGTGTGACGTCTCAGGACTCTGATGACAATCATTATACTTAGATGCGAGCATGCAGCGGTCCAGAATGCACACTAGACAGGACAATCACAGGCCTGACTTGAATGCCTGGATGATGCAAAAGTTCACGCAGCACATCTACCTCAACTCCGGGCATCTTCGCACACTACATACAATATCATACAACTCCAAAGCCAGAGTGCAGAATTTGGCTCCGCGCATTTTGGCATCTTGCTGCGATGTGCAGGGGTGTGTCGCCTTCTGCATTAGTAGCCTGAAGAGACAAGCGCTATCCGCGAACCACCTGCCAGAACATTCTTCAACACAAAACATCTTGACACTCTCCTAGGAGCATTCAGAATGCGAGGATCACCTTGACAAGCCTGACATAGAAATCGTGCCGCATCAGGCACCTTCGCAGTGCAGGATAGCTACTCTGCCTCGCTGCCTCTCTGTTTCACTCCCTCCCTCCCTCCCTCCCTCCCTCCCTCCCTCTTTCTCTCACCCAGTCTTGCTGCATCTTGGCATATTATTGTGTATGTGTGTGAGGGGGCCATGTGGACAGGCAATGTAATTTAACACCGCTTGTGGACCCTGCTCCCCCCCAATTCCCGCCACTTGCCTTATTCATTGCTGCCAAGTGGAGAGCCATGTGCTGCTGCTTGTTGCCTGTCTGCGCCTAGGCCCGTGTCGTGTCTCGGGCGAAGATTGGCGCTCAGGCCTGTAAGTCTGCCTTTTCCTCAACCAGGAGCTTCATGCATTCAACCTGTGCTGATAAATAGACAGTCGCTGCGTTCAAAAAGTGCACCCAGCCTGCCCTCGTCGTGCTGCCAAGTGAAGTGGGTTCCGGCCGTCAGGGCCAAAGCCTGTGCTGGTTTGCAAGATGCACAATGGCTCAAACTCCGAGGAGTTGGTCAAGGCTGCCGCGGGAGATGTCCAGAACCAACTCGGAGCTGCCTGGAACAGATTGAGCTTTGCTAAACACTGGTTTGCCTGCCACTGACGCCCTAATGCATCACAAACAACTTTGAAGCAAGCTGGCAAAGTGGCCTGGAAGACGTCAACTACATTATGTGGCGTGCATGATACGCTCTTTGCCAAACGTGGTCGGACAAGCAGGTTGTGCTTTAGCTAAGCTTTTTTCCACGCGCTACACGACAATAAGTTGATGCGATTGCCCCGAACTTGAAACGGAAAATGTCGCGAGGCATGGTGCATGATTCCGCATCATCGTGCGATGTACCTGCTTTACGTCAAAGCTGTATCACTCGATCTGACATGGGCTGACATGAGTTTGGCTTCAACTGCTTTGATGTTTTTGGCATGAAACGGCACCACTAAGCTTATGTAAACTGACGCACATGATTGGGTCTGGCATCTGCAATCAGGTGACAAAGAACGTGGCATGAGGCGGACCGATAATAGGCCTTGTGAGACGACGGTCTGACACGCGATACCTGATGATTTGGCAGGACACTTAGATCGTTGAGCCCAAGGCAGCGAGGCAACTTTCTTCAGATTGCAAGAGGCTTGCTATGGGTTTCCAAGTTCAATGCAAGGGGCTTGCGCCTTTGGTCATCGTGCTTCGCCAACGGTTCAAAGGCTTCATGCGCTAAGGCAGTCCGACCGAGAAGTTTGCGATATTCTTCCCAGGCTATTCAGCACAATATTCTTCTTCAACACAGGCAAACCCAGCAGCACTGCAAGCCACACCCAGCAGCTCAGCTCACTTGATAGTCACGCTAGCCTCTTGCATTTAAGATCATTTAAGCATGGCCAATGGCAGGTCAAGCCTGAGTGGTCTCCCCTGTAGGGGACCGCAGCATGGGGGCTTGGGAGTCTCGTCTGTTTGTTTGTTTGTTTGTTTGTTTGTTTGTTTGCGCGCGTGCGGTTAAACTTTTGAAGGTGTCCGTGCTACGGCTGCCGGATGCCCGGAATCATGTCACTTGAGTAAGATTCGATCCAGCAACCGCAACAAAAACAACAGAATGCTCCACCATACGATATAGAAGGCGCAGGCCTGGAAAGCAACACGACAATTTGTGTTGGGCCTCCATGCCTGGGCAAAGTCAGCCGAGCAACTCAATACACGAAATGAGCGCCTTGCAAGCTAAGGCTTTGCTGGCGCGATCCATGTTTTTGGCTTACGCGGCAGTCAGCGAGAATGTCCAGCTTTCGCGCTGCTTACGTTTCGGCATTTTGAGCTTGCGCGGGGTCCTTTCTTGTATGCAGCCACTGTTCAAGATAGCACGGATGACTCTAAGGAAGAGGTTGATGAAGAGTTGCTGTCAGGCGGAGCAACTTGGCGCTATTCTTTTCAGAGTATTCGCCTTGCAGCCCTCTTGCACAGCGCTCTGGATTTGGCCGACAAGTTTGCCTCCACAAATCAAAGGAACAGCTTTTGCGGCATCGTGGGCAGCCGTGCTAGGTGAGCTTACGCAAACCTTGATGTGCACGCGCCTGGACCAATAGTTTGCAGAATCTGCCGTGCGGTAACCCTCGTGATTTGGAAATCCAACGGCTAAGCCTGAGCCTCTGGCATTTAACACTAATAGGAAGCAGTCACAGGCGCTTACGCAGCATGCTTCCCGGGGTCCCGAACAGGTTCTTGCGCCGGCTTACGCCGTGCAGGGCTTTTGCTTACGCAGGGCCACACGACTCTTGCTTGGCATGCTTGCTAGCCTTACTAAAGCCAGGAGCTGGAAGTTTCCATTTGATGCCCACGAAGCCCAAGCATATAGATTTAGTCCCAACCGTTATGGGTGTCTTCGCGACTTCCATCCTAATGCGGAGAAAAGGAGCAAAGGATGGCTCTAGGCATGTAAAGGCAAGGATATCGGGAAGATCCAGAGTTTCTGCAGGCGCGGTCAGAGCCGTGCAAGACAGCGCCGTCAAACAGCCTACTACGATCGAAGTTTGTGTCAAGACAAGGCACTACGAGTCGCCCCTGCATTCCCGTTTGCCTTTGTGCCTCCACGTCGCTTTGCCCCAGACACACTTTTGCCTGCCCTGCGCCAGCCTTCAGCTTGTAGGGGTCTCGCCAAGCCCATACCCACCCCCCAGCCCGCCACCGGCGCAAGCATGAGTGAGCCATCGCGGCTGGCCAGGCAGCAGCCCAAAATGCCGCTGTAGCCGCGACCCTAACCCCAGCCTCCGTGCCTGCTAAAGCTTTGGCTGTCCTTTGGTGCCAAGACGATATTTTCCTGATTCTTTCACCCAGGCCCAGGCACAAACGTCATTTCCTGCCAGCTGGCCAGCTTCCCACACACGGCCCTGGAGTAAGAACGGAGATCGGGGCCCGAAAGCATGAGGGAAAGCGAGCGTTGGTTTCATGTGTGCGGGGTGCTTGTTTCCCTTTCCACGGGCAAGTGCTCTGCCAAGTTTTCTGAGCAAGGCGCTCTGCGTGTGCAAGTGCTCTGTGCAGGTTGCGATGCGCAAGCGCTCTGCACCAGTGTGCTGCGCAAGCTCGGAACAAGTTTCATGCGCGCAGCGCTGACCAAAACACAGCAGCCTGCAATTTGAACCCAGTTGTCCATTCGCACCTGCGAAAGTACTTACGCTTAAAAGTTGCGGTCCTCCCGCCGGAGCCTTCTGAAAGTGTACTTCGCGTGATTTCCTTTCGTGCTTGAAAGTTGCAATTTGCCAGCCGAAGCTGCGAAAGTGTACTTCGCGTACCACTTTCGTACTTGCAAGTTGCGATTTTGCAGCCGGAGCTGTGAAGGTGCACTTTGCGAGTTGGTTTCGCGCTGCTGCCTTTCTAGCTTATAGAAGCTGTGGAGACCAAGCAAAATTCGAGCCCGGGGCTGCTCGCAGACAAACTTTCAAGCCCGCATTCCGACTAGAACAAGCACAGTTTATACAATTCACACACAGGGTCGCGCGCGCAGATCAAACATGGAAAATGTTGCGCATCAATTACGTGAATTTTCGAAAAGGGTCGCGCGCGCGCTAAAGAAATCGTAGAAGAAAGTTTTGCTTTTGCGCATCGGCCATGCCAATTCCCGCAGAGGGTGTCATTTTCGCAGAGTGGGTTCGGTCCCACCGCGCCGCCTTAAGATTAAGAGACTAACTACTTACTTTTGTGTCCACATGTCCGTGCGATCTTTCTTCTCGTGCAAGGTGGCTCGTGCAAGTTTGGCTTTGCGATCACTCTCATGCAAGTTGGCTCGTGCAAGTTTGGCTGTGCGATAAGGCTGACAACTCTACCGCAATGCTTTCGAGAAAAAGGAAGCCTCTAAAATCAAATAGCCCCTAGCCAAGGCGGCAGCGCGAAGCCTTTACAATTAAACAGGAATGTGATGAGGTGAACTACTTTTATCTGGCAGCTGCAACGGCCAGTTGTGCAAAGGGGCTCTATACAGCTAAACGGACTTCAGAGCGGCGGTTTGCTTCACACAGAATCCTCGCCCTGGTAACTCAGCCCTGACATCACACGGTGATAGTTTGCCCCGAGCAGCATAGGCCAGTCAAAGCGTGATTGACAACCGGTGACACACATGCTGGATGACACATCATCCGGAACACCTCTACTCTGCTGCCAAACAGGCCAAGGCTGCGAAGAAGATTGCGGAGCACTTCAACTTCACCATACGCCACCTGGCAACCATGGCATTGGGTAAAAATGGTTAAACTTAATACCCTTTTCTTCAACAATCAAGTGACTTGAAGGCAAGGCAGGTGGACAGCACTGTGCAAATCAGCGCCAGGCTTGGTCCTGGGACCATGTTAGGTGCCGCTGGCTAGTCCCGGACTTTTGTGTGCCCCTAAGAGTGTACCCACGATATCCAGGTCTCCAATCTACATAAGTCCACATGGCCCATCACAGTAACTCTTGGCCATAGATGCTCCTGGCAGCATAAGTTGCTAGCAGGAGGTAGTAAATGAAAACACTTGCTGCCCAGCACACAGCCTCGTGGCAGTCTCAAAAGTGCAACAGCTGCAGACCATCAATCACACTCTGAAGACGAGACCCAGGAAGGGTGGAACTTCAGGATGAAGGACACCATCCCAAAGTCCTCAGGCTGAAAGGGTCTCCGCGCTCACTTATTGAACCCAACCAACAAGTAAAGCAATGCACGTGCCTCCGTCTCGCCGACAACCTGCAATTCAGTATATTGGGCATGACTAACTAGGCGGATGTTCAGAACTCACTTAATGCGACGGAAAATTCGCAAGCCAAATCTGAATTGCCCTTGTCCCTGCCAAACAATGCCAGGTCTACTCTGATCTTGGCAGGGCAAAAGACGCAGAACAGCAGGACCTACAGCCGGATCCAACTTGTGGACTAACAGTACAATCATTGATTTATTTGACCCTCGGATTTGCATCTTGAGGTTCGAGGTTCAGCTGATGCCCAACATAGGCTAGCATGAGGCTACTCCATGGCTGTGTGTTCCATCTTCTTCACACCGCCTGTCCAATGCAAGCTTTTGTGCGAATCTGTGCATTCTGCCATCCATCTGCACAGCTCGGCTCTGCAAGGTTTCAGCTGCGCATGCCCAAACACTTGCACTCCTCTCGTTACACTTGTCAAGAACACTATGGAATCTCCGAGCAGGTTGAACTTTTGGCATACTAGTAGCAACCCCTTTGTCGACAAACGTGAGGCTGTGCATGGTGTGCTGCATGTTTGGTGTTGAGTATACATTGAAAGCTTGGTCTCAGCGCATCCAGTGAAGTACGACTCGCGCTGCGTGTCCCGATGAGAATTTCATTCTGAGAAAGGCACACCCACAAATTCGAAACTGCGCAACGGCACCATGATTTCAGAGATCTGTCTAGCCTGGCAGAGAATCCAGATCTTGTCATGCAAACTCCGCTGCGCAAGCAAAGCGTCGACAACTTTGAACCTGGAGGCTCATACCGGGAGCATCCACAAACCTCGGCCAACTGCACAACTCATCCCGCGTGCTGACAATCAGTAGTCTCAAGCTGGAAAAACTGCAGACTCTCCGCCCTTACTCTGGCTTGCATGTGCAGCTGAAGGGCTGCATAATATTGACCATGAACAAGGGCACCCCCAGTACCACAGATGCCTGGCAAGCAACAACAATCCATCATATTGTGGTGTGCCGTTGCAAGCAAGCGGGAATTGGGTTGCTTTTACCAGTAGCGTTCGCTTTCAGGGTTGCAGCTTGAAGGTCAGTTTTGTGGAAAGACATTCTCCCAGCAACGACCCCAAACAGTGGTGTGTCACGAGGAAACAAGGACCACAAATCCACAGTTCTGTCAGCACCTTACAAACAAATAGCCAATAAGAGGCATGACGCAAAACACAGATCCGGAACCGTATGTAATATGGATACAAGTCTGCCTGAAGCCCCTGTGCACTATTGAAGGCTTTGCGCGAGATCCCTCATCTCAATGCAAAGACTGCACAGGCAGTGAACAAAAATAGGGCAACATGTGCAGTGATGCACTCAACAAAACAACATTTGCAAGAATGCCTTCAACAAGAATCGAAAGTCAAAATTTGCAGCAATGCCTTCAACAAAAAATGAGGCAAGCGCAGCGATGCCCTCAACAAGAAATCAGGCAAGGAGGCGAAGATTGCAGCGATTCCTTCGACAAGAAACGAGGCAACATTTGCAGCGAGGCCGTCAACAAGAAAAAAAATACAAGATCCCGGCAACAAGAAATGCGTCAAATATTGGAGCGATGTCTTCAGCAGAAATGAGACAGAAGTATGTACAGCGATGCCGACAGGAAGTGAGGCTACATTTGATGGGACCCCCCACGTTGGTCCACCCTGGAATACTCTTTCTATTTTTCCGGATAGTCCTCATCACCATTGGCAACCACTCTTCTGACCGTAGTTGAGCTCCCGGCATAATTGTTTGCCCCTTTCATCTCAAATATATAAGGTGGGATCAGAAGGTATTTCTATAATAGACCCTTATTAGCCCCTAACGAGTCATTACTAATTGTTTGCATGAAAGTCACAAATAATGGCTTGTTAGGGGCTTATTAAGGGCAGGAAGGTACTCAACACAAATCAACTACCACCTGTCTGCGCATCAGCTAGCCTCTAATTGCTGGACTATGGCATCCCCAGACAGGACAAAACCGGCTGAACGGCCCCCAACAAACCCTTGATTCTTTGGCGCTTGTGTGTTTTGTTGCTTTTCGGGTGCCAAACCGCCCGGTGTGCCAAAACACGCAAAGGGTTAAACCCTTATTAAGCCCATAATAAGCCCTTGTGTGCCCTACGAAAAACGGTGCAAGAAAGGTGCGTTGCTCTTAAAACAAGTTGTTGAGGCAGTCGAAGTTGGCAAGTTGTTTGAGGCAAGCCGCCACAAACTTGAAACCTTATGTTTTGAGGAGGGAGCTCTGAGGAAGTTTACTTGGCAAGTAGCTTGAGGAAAGCCAACACCTTATATTTTTGAGGAGGGGATGGGCGCAGGGCTTACATGAATTCGCCTCACCCCCAAGACGGCCAAGGGTGCTTAGATCTCGTTTCCCAAAGGGAATCTTTGCTTTTCCTGTCAGCGGGCCTTGAAGGGGTTTGTGAAAAGAATGACCTCCTGCTGGCCAGGCCTGTCTGAGACTAACCTCACAGCCCAGCCCAACCAGCAACCCACACAAGCGCGGCCCAGCCCAGCCCACCCAGCCCAGGCCCCAGCAGCGCAGTCCGGCTGTTTAATTTGAGACTTGCCCAACCAGCAACCCACCCACGCCCAGCCCAACCAGCAACCCACCCAAGCAAGGGACACATCGCATTGGGCCCAGATCTCAGGCGCAGCCCAACAGCAACCCACACAAGCAAGGCACCAGCAAGGCCCAGCCCAGCCCACCCAGCCCAGGCCCCACACCGCATCCGGCTGCCTACTTGCCCAACCAGCAACCCACCCACGCCCAGCCCAACCAGCAACCCCAAGCAAGAGACGCGTCAGACAAGCTCTGAGACTAGCCTCGGGCCCAGCCCTCAGGACCCAGCCCAACCAGCACCAGCCACCCAGCCCAGGCCCCAGCAGCGCTGTTCGTCTGCCTAATTTGAGACTCGCCCAATCAGCAACCCACCCACGCCCAGCCCAACCAGCAACCACCCAAGCAAGGGACGCGTCAGACAAGCTCTGAGACTAGCCGGCCTCGGGCCCAGTTCTCAGGCCCAGCCCAACCAGCAACCCACACAAGCAAGGCCCAGCCCAACCAAGGCCCAGCCCAGCTCGCCCTGTCCTGTGCATCGCCTGGGGGATTCCTGCGGGCCCATGACATCAATTGGTCCTACGACGCCAGAACCCGAACCTGTCCATGCTTGAATCGTCACTTGATCAGCTCTGCTGCTTGCAGTCGAACCACAGACGCTGCGCGCTCGGCTTGGCCGAGGCGGGCAACGCGCAGCGTTTACAATTAGTCCTGTGGATCCTGACCATGGGCAAAAACTATTCTGACCGTAGTTAGGTTAGCGGTCTTATTGCCAACTCGAGCCGACTGTTTTGTCGCGACTCGTTTCCGCTTCATACAGCCAGAGTTGTTCGCGGAAACACGAAAGTGCCAAAACTAGCCTCGATTGGCACTTTCCTTGTTTGGGCGCAATCACACGAAGCAGTCTCCCAAAGCAATGAAGGGGCATCAAGCAACTCATGGCTTGGACTCCAAACAAGGAAAAGGAGAAATGGAATCCACAAAATTCCAAATCCCTCGAAATCCTTGGCCTTAGAGATAATAGCATCACCAGAAACATCCCCAGCAGGTCCCTGTGGTTCCGCCCCTCCCTGTCGGTGGAAATTATTCCAGGCTCGACCCCTCTCCCACCCGAAGCACCTCCGACTCCAAAACATATGAACAATTATTCCTGGGGTCATCGGGTTGTCATGTTTTTTGAAAACCACCATCAAGTGGGGAGCCCAAGACCCCACAAAATTACAAAAACATATTCCAAAAACATATGACAGAAATACAATTCCAAGGGCTGACGCGATCCCCCTGAATAAATTATTAAGGAGGGCCCATAAAATTTGTGGCTATGTGAGGTGATGCCTTCAACAGGAAAGAGCATCGCTGCACTCTATGCCTGAGTGTTTGTTGCAGGCATCACTGCTTATTGAAGGCATGGCTGTTCAGGGCAACATTTGCAGCGATGCCTTCAACAGGAAGTAAGGCATGGCAGCGATGCCTTCAACAACAAGAGAGGCAACATCTGCCTTGAACATTAAGTGAGGCGCATTTTGCATGGATGCCATCAACAATAAATGAGGCAAAACTGTAGTGATGGCTTCAACAAGAAATGAGGCACCTTTTGCAGCGGTGCTTTCACACAAAACTCAGGCAACATGAGCAGCGACACTTTCAACAGAAAATGAGCCAACATTTGTCGCGATGCCTTCAAGAAGAATGAGGCAACCTTTGCAGCGGTGCCTTCAACAAGAAATCAGGCAATGAGGCAAATATTGTACGATGCCTTCAACAAGAAATGCTAAGTTTGCTGCAATGCGCAGCGATACCTTCAACCAAAACTCGGTCAAAACTTCCAGCGATGACTTCGATAAGAAATAAAGCAAACATTACAAGGATGCCTTCAACAGAACTAAGGCAACATTTGCAGCGATGCCCTCAACAAGAGATGAAGCCCAATTTGCGGCAATGTGCAGCGATCCTTCAACAGAACATGAGGCATGGCACCGATGCCTTCAGCAAGAACAGAGGCATTTTTTGCGCGATGCATTCAGCATAAATGAGACCAGCGAGAAATAAGGCAATAAATGCAGCGATGTTGACAGCATAAAACGAGGCAACATTTGTAGTGATGCCTGCAACACGAAATGAGGGGCAAACTGTACAGCAATGCCCTCAACAAGAAATGAGGAAAACATTGCAGCGATGCCTTCAGCAAGAAACGAGGCAAACAATCGAGTGATGCCTTCAGAGAGAAAAGAGGCAACATTCTGCAGCGATGCCTTCAACGTAAAATGAGGCAACATTTGCAGTGAGGCTTTCATACCAAGCACAGGCAACTTGCGCAGCGATGCCTTCAGCATGAAATGAGACAAACAATCAGCTCAGCATCGCCGTGTGCGTCAGCGCGTGACCCCGCCCGTCGAGGGTGTTCGGCTGTGTGAGACAGTACTCACTCACTCAAAGCTTGGCTATGCTCATACCAAAGGCGTGGCGCTAGGACTACGGACGTTGGTCGGTCGCAAACCACCTGCGTACCTAAGGAGTCATGCATAGGCGCACGCTGCTGGTGACTTTCCCGTTCTCAAGGACTGCACCCGTCCTCAGGTATGGGAAGACCGTCGAAAGACCCTAGCAGCGCTGTCCTTATGTACGCAGAGACCTGTCCTTAGGCACATGCTGGTGATGCTTGTGACGCTGGCGGCAGGGAATGCTGGCGATGCTAGCTGAGGAGCATTCATCGCAGCTAGTCAGCGGTGGGCTCTGGATTCTTTGCTGTTTCAAGTTGGCTTAGGGTGAAGTTCGGGTGATTCGGGTTTGGGCTTAGGGGCAGGCTTGAGGTGTGTCTCAAGGTTAAATTTGGAGCGGGTTCAGACCGCGCTGAAGGTGTTAATGGTGAGTTCGGGTGGGTTTAGAGTACGTCTACGGTGGATTAGGGTTTTCAAAGGGTTGGTTCAGCGTTGAGTTGGCTTCAAGTGTAAAAGAGATGCGATTTTGGCGGGCATGCTTCTTCCACGGCATTCATCGCATTCGTTGTTCCACTTAACTGGGCGTCGCCTAGCGCTCTCATTGGTGATACTTTGGTTTGATCGGGCGTGGCTGTGATTGTGCGGAGTGCGTTAATTCTTTGTGGGGAGGGGGGGGAGGGTGAACGCTTACAATTATGGAGCCACTCAGCCGAGTGGGGGGTTGCGCTTTGGTAAGGCATGCAATCGCACGTAGCTCCGGAGAGTCGAGCCAGAAGTGCCGAGAAGAAGGCAAACCATGGCCAGGCCGGGCGCCGGGTGGCCGAAGCCGGAGTCGGGAACCGGGGTCGGAGCCGGGGGCCGGACAAGCGCGTAGAAGCAATGCTTCAAGTGTTCTTTAAAATGCCTACAAGGCAGCCGCTTGAAGCTATGCGTTTGAGATTGATGAGCCAGCGAGGCACACGCATTACTCAAGAAGCAAGGAGGCGCGCCCATCAGAGACACATCATGGTCCACGTCTAGTCTTAAAACAGACTGAAGTTGGCATTTGAACATTTCTATGCTAAGCTCAAACTAAGGCAGTTCAACGTTTTGCTCATCACGCTATGCGCCTCGCGAATTGGGTCACGGCCACCAAGGAGGATCAACAGTGCCACCTGCTCGATTTGCACGGGCTTGCCAAAAGACCACAAGACTTACTAATCATCCTCACGGCCTTGATAGCCTACAAGACCCATGCCACCGTCGCAAAAATGCAGTAATTATGCACATCCGGCTTCTCTTCAAGTGCCCAACTCCAAAGATATAGTCAGCTGCGACCAGCACCTTGACTTCACAGCTAACGGTGCTGCGTGTCAATTGCGCCCCTTGTCAGCCACTATCGGCCCACCCCAGTGCTGGTCTTAATACGGAGCCTGGCTATCCCTGAGCCCCTTACTGCAATACTGACCTGAATTCCATTGCCACCGTGTTTCGCTCCTCTTTAACAAACAACTAATCAAGTATTCTTGAGATAACGCTGTTTACTTCTCCCAAGGGAGAACACATTTTACCAACGGAAGGCAAGCAAATAAGCCCCCTGGCGCCCAAATACGTCCTGTTAGCAGACATTGTTCCGCCCCTAGGCTATTTCTGTTCCGGGGTGGGCGTGTCTAGTCCCAGTCGCGAAACCGGTTGGCGGAAGCTTCGAAATATAGGAACTATAGTGTTTTTCTTCTTCTTCTTCTGCTTTCTCTTTCTCTTTTTCTTTCTTATTCTCTTACCGAATTCCCTTCTCTTTTCTCATTCTTTCCTGGAGCCCGTCTGTCGAGAAAATGCTTCACGTAGATGGCATATGTGTCTTTCTCCCTCCCTTTCTCTTTCTCTTGTTCTGTCTGTCTGTCTATGCGCCTAATCTCCCTATCCATCTGTCTGTCTGTCTATGTGTCGATCTATCTCTCGAGATCTATCTAGCTACCTACCTATCTACCTATCTCTCGAGATCTAACTGTCTGTCCGTCTACCTACCTGTCTGTCTACCTATCCACCTATCTATGTGTTTATCTCTCTCCCGAGATCTGCCTACCTTCCTAGCAGCTAGCTAGCCTGCTGTCTCTCAAGAGCCACTCATGCATCCGTCCATCTATCTGTCTATCCCTCAAGATCTGTCTCCCGAGATGTCAGTTTATCTTTCTATCTTTAGCTAGCGACCTATCTCTCGAGATCCATTTTCCTATCTATATGTTCATCTATCTACCTGTCTATCATTCCAACTTCACTAACTGCCTAACCTAAGCTAGTTTATTGAAACCTTCATTCTTTATTTCTGCCCTCTTTCTGAGCTTTCTTTCTTAGCCTTCTATCTATCTGTTTCTCCATCTATCGAACCTCACTATCTACCTATCTATGTATCTTCGTCGTGAAGCGCGGAGCCTGCCACAAAGTGATGTGCCTACCACGAAATCTGTGCTGAAGATGCCACGAACTTCGCACTTGACCTCGCAAACCCTGCAGCTGCGCCTGCCACGAGATCTACACTCTACACCTCAGGCTTCCAAAGACCCGTCCGCACCCGCTCCCCAACAGGCGTCGTACCAAGGTAGCTTTCAGCTCGCCAAAGACGCCAAAACCCCTAGATGGTCACTCCTTTTCGTGATTTCTTCCCGCCACACGCCCGCGCAAGTTTTTGTAGCGTTCATTACTTCTTCATCTTCTCTGTGCGCAAAGCTACCTTCAATTCGTGTTCGTAACACGGAAGTTCCGTCTAAGCATCCGTTGAATAGGGTCACTGATTTGTCATTAGCTACATGAGCGGTGCCGAAAATAGGGTGTAGGAAGACCTCTTTACTAACAAGCCGCTTTCGCCCAACCTTTCGCGACGCTTTCACGACCACGCGATTCACTTTCGCGGGAATGCGGTTTGTAACGATCACTTTGGTGGAGCTTTAGAGGCGGGCCGTTTGCATTTACCTCAACTCCTAACACACGCTTACAAACACAGAGACAAGCACAAACGGTTAGGCAGAGACAGACACAAACAGAAACTGCAAACATGCACTTTCGCGACGCTTTCGCGGCGGGCTCCTCTGCAGCCACTTTCGCCGCAAGCTTTCGCAGGCTTTCGCGCCCTGCGTTTTAGCGAGAGGCCCTCAATTAACTCCTTTCACAAGGGTTTTTGGCGCTGCTCACATCTACACCCGTTTGTCAACACACATATACGGAAGTTGCCTAAAAATGCAATTAATCCAAAGCTAAAAGCTCTGAAACCTGCACAGGCTCAAAAAGTGCAACAAATGCAAAATCTAGACCAATCAAGCCCTGACCTCTGACATTGCATCTGGGTTTTGCATTGTTTGCCTTTCTTAAGCCTGTGTAGGTCAAGTTTGGATTTTGGAATGTTTTTGAGCCTGTGCATGTTTTAAGAACCCAAAGCTCCAAAACCTGCACCGGCTCAAAAATGCAATTAATCTAAAACTTAAAGCTCTGAAACCTGCACAGGCTCAAAAATGCAACACAAATGCAAAACTCTAGACCAATCAAGCCCTGACCTCTGTTTTACATTCTTGTTGAGCCTGTGCAGGTTTTGGAGGTTTCAGGTTTTGCATTTTTTGGGTCTGTGCAGGTTTTGGGTTCTGAAAACCTGCACAGGCTCAACAAAAATCAATTCATCCAAAGCTAAAAGCTCTGAAGCCTGCACAGGCCCAAACAAATGAAACAAATGCAAACATCTGGACCAATCAAGCCCTGACCGTTGACATGGCATCTGGGGTTTGCATTGTTTGCATTGTTTCGAGCCTGCGCAGATTTTGAAGCTTTCAGGTGTGGATTGTTTACATTGTTTGAGCCTGTGCATGTTTTTGAGGATGCGACCATCAAAAACAAACACAGGTGTGTTTGCAGCTTCCTTTGAACCATACTGCAAGTAACAGTGTGTTCAACACTGACAATGTTGCATCTGAAAACGCTTTCCTGGTTTGTGTGTGTGTGTGTTTGCTTTCTTGAGTCTTGTTTTGCATCAAGCACACAAAGAACATCTGGCGCAATATATATATATATATGTATATATAACAAAAACCCGCAAACACACTATAAATTAGTGCTTTCTGCAAGGCATCTGCAAGCCAAGTGAACACTGAACATCTGCAAATAGATCTATTTTGTGCAAGAAGTGTAAAGGTGGGCTCTAGGGGGGGTGACCATATAATATGTATGTGTATATGTATATATGTGTATATGTGTATTGATATCCAACAAACAGAGGCTTCCAGGCAACAATAGATGCAACGCGGAATGCCAATCGGGGAATTTTAGAATAATTCGATGTATCAAAGCCTGGCCTCACAGTGCTTGGAGTGGCACAAGCCATTTGCCATGTGACAATGTGCATTGCAAGTGTTGCCGCAAGTGCCACTCCCTTCCTCCAGAGTCCAGCCAAGGATGGAGCGTAGGCAATCCACCAGAATCGCAGTGGCCGCATGAATGTGCAAAACGCCTTGGAGGTCGAAATGACAGAACAAGATCTTGCAGAATGTCTTTTGCATTGCATGGGAAGAATGTATAGAGCAATCCTGGGTTGACGTGAAGTGCTAGTACTACAACACGTGTGCGGCACTTGCTGGCCTTCCATTTAAGGCAAGGCCTGTGCTACAGGCACCTGGTGCATGGAAAGCTTGGGCTGCAGACAAGAAGTGTCAACAGCCGCATGGAGAATTCTGCTGCTCTGAACCTTATCTTTCTCTGCGAAAGAACGACATGCAGTGCCTCTGACAGTAACTCCTGACTTTTGCCATGGTCAGAATCATTAGCCAAGCGTATGCCAAAGGCTGGCACGATAAATGTCGAGCAGATGCCAAGGAAGACTGGTTGACATTGAGCACAGTCTGCACCTAGGGCTAGAATTGAGCGGCAAACATGTGCAATCAACCGCTTCTGCATAATCTCTTCCGATTAAGCAGGTGGGTCCCCGCGCGCAGGCTGATGTCCGGTGGTCAATCTAGGTTGCCGGCATGTGTGGATCTCTTTTCTCAACAGACCGCTTCGCACCACTTCAACATCAACACACACACACACACAAACACGTTTCCGTAAGATAGCTGACCGGCGTTGGACTAGGCAGAGTGCCATTCCAGCTCGATAATGGGTTCAGGATGGATGGCAGTTAGTGGATTACTTGTTCTAGTTTGGAGGTGTAGCTGCAAAAAAGCTGGAGACATTGCAATGTTCGCGAAAGCTGTGTTCGCAAACATGCGTAAACATCATTCAACACCAGAAGAAAAAGGGTGGTTCATTTAGCCTGATTTCCCTTCGGGCATTAAAGGCGGAGATCAGTCATAATTCACGCTACGCGACCAATGAGACACGTCACTGTCAAGTCTGGCAGGCATTGTTGACGAATTCAGAAAAATGAACCTGCAACTGGCCTCCACTAGTGCAAGGCCCACGTTGAGCATGCTGCAAACAGCACCTGTGCGGGTCTCCATGCGCGGTGTCAAACACCGCTATTTCCTTGCAAACCCAAATGAGAGCAGACTGATCGATTAGACGCAGGCTATCGCAGGCCTATGTACAGGCAAGGGGTGTACCATTCCTGATCCATTGGCCATCACTCTTTCAGGCAAACCATGTATTGCTTCAATACCATGTCCTGTTGCAGCTGCACCGGGTTGAACCGTGGCCTCAGCATGCTCATGATCCTATATACAAACAGCTGCTCTGTGTCGGTGTGCTGGATCTTGCAATAGCCTTCGAGTTGTTGGTCCTCAGCCTCTGGCTCAGCCCAGTTGTCTTTCAGCAACGCGTACATCGCGACATATGCAAAGACTGATCCTTCAAGAAGACCATCCATAGCCTGCAGGGCCGAGGGGCAGGTCTGGTCGTTGCATCATGGCTGGCACCTTGCTGTGAAATCGAGCAGGCATCATGGCGGGAACCTTAGACCGAAACGATTACAACCCTGACAACACATGTTGCACTACATTCACAGCCGCATTGTGGAACTCGCAAGCAACCCAGGGCCATGATTGTGCTCAACTGCAAAAAGAGTTCTTTGTAGAGAACAAAGGCTAAGTCAGGTCTATCTTCAAGGCTATCGTTTGCGATGTTGCAGACCGCTAGTGCAAGCCAAAGCTGTTGAATCGGCCAAACCTAGTGCTGCGAGGTCTGCCAGCATCATCCAGCAACCAATTTGACCATATGGGCACTGCAGTCAACCTGCATGTTCCTGATGTGCAGTGGACAGTTGCCCACAGCACTGAGCTCGTGGCTCGCTGCTCGGCATTCAGCTCGGCAGTCAGTGAGCGTTGTCGCCGTCGCGTGTAATCCTTCGGTGCAATATTGAAGACTATTTCTCTTAAATTGCGGTTCACTTGCGGCTGGGTTCGCAGTAGTATTTACATTGCCTCTTGCCTCTCTCTGGCCTACGCGATGCATCTTCCACCCAAGTAGAATGCCAGAATGACTCGGATTGTCTTTTGGTTTGGAGCCGGAAAATATAAAGTACTTGTGAAATGTCTGAGAAAAATACTTTGTGATAGCATTGATATTTCAATTGTTGCGGCGCTGAAAAACGTAGTTGTGTATGTAAGGCATTTGCGCGTTTTCCCCCTTTTTCGTTTGATGCCGGTTCTGTGTGTACATATTGCAAGAAAACATGCGCAGTCGTTGGTTTCGCGCCCGAAACTAACGCTATTTCCAAGGGCAAACGCAAACATTCCTCGTCAGTGGTGAGTGAATAATATTGCGAATGTGTTTGCTCTAATTATATTTGTATATACACATTAAGCAACATTACTTGGGTGGAATTTAAGATTCTGTTTGGCGCGCTTGCCGGAACACGTGTATATATATATATATATTATACATATGTACACATTCTACCGGTTGAGCCACGCAAGGCGCACCTCAGCTTGCCGAAGCGAGACGCCTGTCACGCAAAAATGACGTTGCGAAAAGCGAGCGCGTCTGTGGCAATGGGTCTGGGTCCGACCCCGTTCCGCACTTCCAACGGACCCCGTCGTCCGTCAGGGCGTTGCGACTCGGGTAGCTGTCAGCCTCCAAAGCCCGCAAAGGGTGAATCTGCTTTTGCGATTTCCATTCCCCTCGCATGCGTTCATGCTGTTTTGATTGTATGTGTGTGCTACAAGTCACTTAGTGTCCGCAACTTCCTTTGATCAATACATATTAATCCGTTCCCCCTATTAATAAAGGTCTCCCTAATAATAAATATTTGTTTCGGAAGTCCCAAATCCGGGAATACTACTTTTAGAATAGCCAATGCTAAACCAATTCTAAAGTAGATATTTTCCTGCCCGTACTCAAATCCAGCCCCATTAGGGGGACCCCGGGGGCACGCTTCCTTTACTACGGCTGTACTACAAAGTTGCGACTTTCGAGCCAGAGCTCCGGGAGCACGTTTCCTTTACTACGGTTGTACTACAAAGTTGCGACTTTCAAGCCAGAGCTCCGGGAGCACGTTTCCTTTACTACGGTTGTACTACAAATTTGCGACTTTCGAGCCAGAGCTCTGGGAGCACGTTTCCTTTACTACGGCTGTACTACAAAGTTGCGACTTTCAAGCCAGAGCTCCGGGAGCACGTTTCCTTTACTACGGTTGTACTACAAAGTTGCGACTTTGGAGCCAGAGCTCCGGGAGTACGTTTCCTTTGAGACCGGCAGGCTGTTCCAACTAACTAATTAGCTACAGAGGCTGGTGGTCAAGGTCAAAGGGTGACCACAGTTGCAAACAAGCCTACACAGAACAAGAAGTACCTCCAAAACCTGCCCTCCAGAACCAGGGGACCCCTAATAATACAAATTGTTTTGCGGGCCGGGTATTTTTTTTATTAGGGGGGGGCGTCGTTTATTATTGGGGATTATACATGCGTGTGGGGGGGACTGAGGGCCTCCCCCCCCCGCCCAACGTCTGATACGGGGGGGAGGGCCCCCCCCCCCGCCGGACCGCGTTCCACTAAACGTAGTCTTCGGGGAGCCGGTGTTGCAAAACAGGGGGGTCCCAGGCTCGATTCGCCCTGCCGGTTCTTTGCTGGTTTGGGGTTCCTGCCTCCTTTTGCCGAAAATCTGGAAAAACTCTGTGTTTTTGGACGTCCTAATTCCGAAAACGCTGAAAAACCGTTTTGCGGGAAATATTGGGGAGCAAAGGGGAAATGCAAGAAAGTGCCAGGAAATGAGGGGAGGAAATAGGAAGTCGACCTGACAGGAAAGCAGCGGGAAATGAAAGGGAAACAAAAGGGAACTGAGAGGGACATGCAAGGGATAGAAATGAAAAACAAGGGGAGTGCAGGGGGAATGAGAGGGAAACGAAGCACAAGGACACACCGATCGGCACGACGGGAGATGTAGGGAAATGACTCACAACGAAAGAACGGGGCATACATGGAAAATGAAGCGGACATACCGAGAAAATGTCAGGGACCTGAAGGGGGAGTTGACAGGCATGGAAGGGACATCAGCAGGACATCATGGGAAACGTGAAAAGGACATGAAGGGGAAATCAAGCAAGCCAGTAGTCAGCTGACCGTTCAGGGTCATGAAGGGGCAGTGCCCGGACATCGAGGCAACTCAGGGGGGACGTGACGCTGCAATGCAGAGAGAGAGAGAGAGGGAGAGAGCGGGAGAGAGAGAGGGAGAGAGAGAGAGAGAGAGAGCGAGAGCGAGACACAGAGAGTGAGAAAAAGAGAGAGAGAGAGAGAGACTCAGACACAGCCAGAGACACAGAGAAAGAGACAGACAGAGAGAGAGAGAGACAGAGAGAAAGAGAAAGAGAGAGACTGAGAAAGAGAGACACAGAAAGACAGAGAGAGAGAGAGAGAGAGAGAGACAGAGAGAAAGAGCGAGAAAGTGAGAGAGTAGAGAGGTTCGAGTTAGGGTACCCTTTTTCCGTAGAGGGGCGTGGACAGGAAGGAGACAGGGAGACAGAAAGAGACAGAGAAGCAGAGAGAGCGAGAGAGAGAGAGAGTGAGAGAGAGAGAGACAGAGAGAGGCAGATTGAGGAGAGAGGCTTGGGGGGATGGGGAGGATGGGGAGCAGAGGGAGGGAGAGAGGACGACAGAACACACGAGGGAGACAAGGGAGAGAGGAAGAAGGAGAAAAGGGAGAGGATAATGTCGGCGGACTGAGCCGGAGGCTCTAAAGTTTATAGTGGTAGCAACATGATCTGGTCTACAAATTGTTAATAAGTTATGTGGTATCAAACACCGCTAGTATTTTTGCGCGGGGAGAAGTGCAGGGCAAGGATCCAAATAGTTGAACTTCATTCGACCGCTGTGGCAGTGCTGCGCCGGGCTTTACTTGCGGACTTGTACAGGGCCGTTGTTGAACTGTTTTATCGTGTGTAGAGCTTGTGTCCGCAGCTCGAGGCGGCAGTGGCCTTAACACAGGAGTCATCATGTCTTCCTTGACTCCAGGATCCTTTGCAGTTTATAGACCTTCAACATGTTGAACTTGCGTACTAGCCCGCCGTTTTCTTTCAGGGAATCGAGGATTAAACTTTGTTGCTATTGGACTGCTATCAGGGTTAAATTGACGCAAAGAACTGGCTTTGCGCTTCAGCCCCTGACGTGATTCTGTGGAGGGAATGCGCGGCAAGGATGTACTATACTACACAGCCAATATTGTTTACAATCGGTGCTTAGTCGGGCTCGACTTGCGTAGGCCGTTGTTGCCCACGGCTTGACTTCATGCTGCCAGCTTTAGCATTTCGTAGCAGCATTTGCCTTTTAACAAAGACCATCACACAAGTCACATTGTGAGTCGGCTAAGTTGGAGCAGTTTTTAAGCTTGTATGTGACGGTCACCTCTTGGATCCAGAAACGTATGTTCGGCGCTGGGTGTTCTGGGCAGGATTTCTATGCACTAGGTGCTGACATGATGGCCATGGATGTTCGATTGGCCAAGGAATGCGCGCTAATGACCTCAGAGCTGAGATGGGTGCTGACTTCATGCAGTGCTTCACATTTCTTGATGGGTTCTCTGGTGAGCTGAAAACTATCAATTTCAGGTGTGGGTAATTAGCCTATCTATGGCCGAGTCGCTTTAGGTGGAATCCCTTCTCAGGAGCAGGTAATTTCATCATTGTTGTCTGCTGTTGCAGGTGGGATGTTTTCCACAAAACCATCATCATTCACCATGCCGCGCGACAATGCATCATGACACATCCACGCCAAAGTAAAACTGCTGGTGTCATTTCCTCAATATCTCCAAGCTTGCAGTTTACTTGCCCCCTCATCTGGCTGCGACGAGCCATGTTCATCTTCCTTTGCAAGTTGCAGTTGGTGCCAGGTCGCAGGCATCAATGGTGTCCACACACTATGAATCCGCAAACAAAACCATGCCTGAACGCACTCACGCTAGAAGCTGGAGATGTCTCTTTCTATAAATCTTCAGCACAAAGTGCGCTATATCATGCTGCTGGTGCTGTACAACCTACAAAGTGGTGTGGAACATGGCTGAAACCATGGGTCTGAGGTATCTGGGGGTCCAGCATCATGCGCCATACATAGCTGAACGCCCTGCATGAGCCCCATGAAAATAACCTTGCAGCTGGGCGCTTTCGGTACGTGCACGGGATTTTGAAGAACTTGATCCAAGCCAGGCACCATAATGAAGAAATTGATGAACGGCACGCAGCACCATTTTTGCCACTCCTCCCACGATCGACATGCAACATATGGCCTTCCGTACAGCATACAGCAAAGCATGTTATGTTTCAAGTGATTCATTGTCTGGTGGTCCAGGCGGGTGGAGGCCGTGTATGTGCAAAAGCATCCAATGACCAAGTGCCTGAATCCAAAGCACAACTCGACAGCACATCTCCACGATGCTGGCTACTGCCTCTTACATCGGCTGTCCCTTGTTTCTGCTCTTTCCATCAGAGCCAAACCAGTCTTCCTATACATTGCAACATCCCAGCGTTCAATTGCAGCTTAGCTCTCGGCGACAAAAGGAGCACATAGAAGTATCTCTGATGGTCAACCAAACATACCTTGCAGGTTGCCGCAGGTTGCCGCTGCGGCCCAGAGCAGATGTTGATTCAGAAAGCATACGGTTCCGAGCTCCTTGCTATAACCATGGTAAGGATGTTTGTGACATAGTCCGTGATGTGAAGCCTTGCTCAAAAAGCAGCCTACGAAATCTCAAAATTGATCTGCAAGTTTCAAACATCTTTTGGGTTGGCTACCACCATCACTATAGTAGCCACATTGAAATGCCCGGTGCCTCCGGCCATCGAAACAAAGGTGGAATATGCCGGGTGTGTGCCATAGATTTTGGGTTTGAGTTTGCTATACAATAGTATTCGAGTACCTGCGATGGTAAAACAGGAATGGAATGAACAACATCAAATGCTGATTTGTGTTCAGGGCATTGATTGATTCCGGCCCCGTTGTCGTTCTTGGCTTGTATTACGTAGCGGCTGACCCTGTAGTATCCTAAAAGACCATTGGACAGTTGCCACGCGGCATGAAGTGCGACCTTGGGAGGCTGCGATCCTTTATAACATCTGTTCCCCAACTAATACGCCTGTTTAACATGCTCAGATCTTTCTTTGCGTCGCAGCTAGGAAGAATGCTACGGGAAAGCAAATCCGTCCGAACTATGTCGAAAACGAAGCCTCCAATGCGGATCCTATTGGTGTTTTGGTGTGCTGCTAGAGATGCGCCTTCTACAGCTGGGAGCTTTTCTGACAATTTTAAGAAGCTTTATGGAAACCAACGGTGCCTGTGGGCGGTTTCCTCATTTCATTTGCCAGGCTCAAGCTGATCCTCATCACATACTGGCACCTTTGCAAAATTGCATAGGAAAGCTGATGATGCTGCTGATTCTGGTGGTGCTCGCAGGGGATGTAGGATGATGCAGGTGTACTATCTGGGCGTCATGCGGGACAGCTGCTAGTGACGCTGCCGCAGTGCTTAACGGTATACGCATGATTTGTGTTGCATCTCTGTCGCAGCCACACACGTTGCACCCGCTGCGTGGCGCTGAGCTGAGGGCTGCTTCTTGGTGACGCAGGGCAGTTTTGGCACTGACGTAGCAGCGATGTTGGTAGTGCGGAATTTGCCACGATTCCTTTTATGTCATAATCCTGGATGATGCTGGTGAGAAACAACAAACGTGACTTTTTGAGACTGCTGGGATGGGGTGGCTACAGCAGGACATCTGCCAAAACGCCCAGCGTGATTCTCAGCATGATCCTCATTCCATCAAACAAGTCATGCAACATGTGCTCGAGATGCCGGTCAAGCAAGGGGCAAGAGCTGACGAGGCAAGGTACGGGGGGCACACGCGCTCCCCAGCCCCAAACAGCCAAACAGAGACAGCTCAAAGCAAACAAACAGAAATGCCAAGAAAGCCCGAAAACTGTATACACACTGTTTTGGAGCTGTTGCCGTCCCCTCAAGAAGTTCGGCGTGGAAATCTTGCCAGGGCGAGCCCTTGAATGATGTTCAAGAGCAAACAAATTCTGGTGACTTCCTGTGCTTCAATCATCCGCCATCATGTTATTAAATTAGTCAAACGTCAGCGTGGTCAACCTTGACCAAGTCACAATATGAACGGCTACAACAGTCAGCCTTTGCCATGTTGACCACCTGGTGTGGTACCAGCAAGACTGTACTGATCCGCTGAAGTCAACGGATCTGTCAGGGTCCGGCTTGTCACTCTTGTCACACTGGCATTTCAGATTCTGCATTTGCCTCTTCTGTATGCCTGTTTTATGCATCTGAGATTCTAAATCTCACATTTCCGTTGAATAAGGTCCGGGCATTACAAAAGCTGAATGCCGGAGCAGCTCTGCTCGAGGTGTTGAGATTCGAGCACAAAAAAGCCTTGACAGCCCAGAAAGAAGTCATGATGGCCGAACGAGCAGCGGCACATTTCAGGGTTTGCCACACCCAGCATATGGCTAGCATACTCACAAAGTCTGAGACCAGCGCAGAATCCCCAGCACGCACAGGATGCCGAAGAACGTTCTGACAGGCCAGGCATTCGCCAAATTGCAAAGCATCAAGGAAGAGTGCGTGCGAGGCAACTCTACTCAATTTTATCTTCATAAATGCTTTAGTGCGTCCTCACTCTGCAATTTGCACATGAATGAGTTGTGTGTGTGGGTGCGCAGTGTTGGCCAAATGCAGACAAACCACCCAACTATGCATACGCACCAATAGCCAATCTCATCTGGCCTTGATCAAGAGGCCACTGCATCACAACCGAATTCGCGCAAAGGAAATCAAAGGAATATCATGATATCGATCCTTTTTACACGATTGTAAGGACAGGACAAGTTGTAGACAGGAGCTCTGTCATGCAGCAAGAGCCATCTGGCAATAACAAAAACGCACTGCATCCCAGCAAGCACAATCTTGAACCGGCCTTGGGATCACATTGGCAAGGCCCAACGCAGGCATGCTGCTATTCACTTTCTTAGAGGCTGCTTGGTTCGCTTGCCTGCTGAGAATGATCTGAAACATGTAGACTGCCGGTCAGCAGCTTTACAACTTTCACATTTAGCTGCTTTGTCAGTGACAAGCCGCGAAACATATTCACATGATTGCATGATATTGCATGCAGAATGTCTTTCAGTGTGCAAAGCTGGCAACCATCAGCATCTTGCCAAAATGGCTTGACTTCTTGAAGCTATCGAACGGCACGGCGTTCTTTGGTGTCTACAATCACACACGCGAAGGCACATTGACTAAGCAACAATGTGCTGCACATTTCTTGGTCACGGCACAGGCTCAAAGAAACGGAGTCGAAAAACGGGATGGCTCCAATATATCCGTCCCTCGCAGTCCTGCAAAATCAGGTCCCACCAAACTTCAGGCCATGGACATGCTACGAGTAAGCACCCAAAACCGCAACTGGGACAGCTCCTGACGCCGGTGCCAGCTGGCATCAGATTCCCAGAAGCCTTACCGGACCGCACTGCCACCGCACTGTTGAAATGTCTCTCTTTGTCTCTGGCATGGAGCGAAAGCACGATGGTCCTAATGCCTCTGAGACTGAGGGTATCGCTTATGCTTGGTCTATCCGCAGTTCCTGGACATACCCAACATGCTCCTTCTCCATTTTCCTCACGTGTCCAAACTCTATCTTCAGCATGCTCCGGTGGAGTCCAACTGGCTGCCTGGCAGGGTGCTTGAAACAGATCCTGTCAATCTCCGAACAAACGCTGGCCAAATGCTGCTCCCAATTATACTCTAGTTCCGGATTGTCAACCAAAAGTATTTGCGCATCTTTGCTCTTTGCACTATGTGTCATAATTCGCCGGCGAATCGTCCTGGCATTCGGCATCCCAGAAGTAGGTTCGACCAGTCTTGTCATCCACCACCCTTTGCCAACCAGGTGGCAACTGCTCGGATCTTTGAGATGCGGCAAACTGTGAATGCAAGCCGGTAGTGGCTTCAGAATGCTCCGGTCTGAAACGTGCCACTTCTTCCTTCGGGCAGGTCTGCTGAGGCACCGCTTCCGGCATGTGGCTGCTGTGGCACATATCAGCTGTTGAAGTTGCCACGCTCCCGGGCTTTGGCATGGTCTGCCCTTGACAGGGATGATGCCATTGCGACTTTTGCGTTTTGAGACCTCACTTGCCATGCTTGAAATCCCTGCACACATTGACCCATGATGCAAGTTTCAGCAAAGTATCAGTAATAGTATTTGCGGCCATCATCAGTTTCGTGCTCTTCCCACAAATCCGGCAAGCTGTTGCGGGCAATCGAAGATGTTGGTGCTGGTCGTGACGACTGCTTCTCGCCTAGAGCACCAGGGACATTCAGCAAAATTGCTTGGATTCCTTGCATACGCCTTGCATATGCAGCACATGATGCAACAATGAAGGGACACAAGAGACAACAACTTGTGATCAAGACGCTGCAGGGGTCTAAAACGGCTGGAGTCATTCATGTCCATTACATGTTTCTGAGCAACGCATGGCATTTTAAGAAGTTAGAGCCTCGAGCCCTTTTCTCAGCAGTAACCTCCCACTTTCCCAAAGACTGGGTCAAAGCGCAATAATTTGATGTCTATTGACCATGGCCCAAAGGGGATGGACTCCTCTGTATGCGTGAGCCCCCCAGACTACGCTCCGTGCTCAAGTGAACGTCTTGTGTGTGTGTGTGTGTGTGTCTGCATTTGTGCATGTGGGTGTGGGGGGGTTGGGGGGATTGAGGGAAGAAGTCTCCTTGGCAGTCATTACTGGCAGGCAAACACACACACACACACACGATGAAACAACATTGTTCACTAGCCCTTTGGAGCATGGTTCTCAAAAGAAAGAGTTGCACGACTGCATTCTGGTAGCTGACGCTCTCGGACACGCTGGCACAAAACAACTTAGTCACGCCTTTGCTTTTCGCTTTAGCTTGTGGTGCAGGTGCTTCAGTGAATTCAGACGGCGTCTTGGGCATATGCTCGTTCTCATTGCACATTTTGTCTCGTTCAATGCAATTATCTTCGAGGGGGTAGAGGCTTGGATAGCTGCCTTTGTGGCTGGATGTCAAAATGTTGGCTCCCGGTTGTTAAGCGTAAAAAAACATCATGCCATGGGGGGGCATCCGGGCCATATAAACAGGCACTGTAGGTTTGAATGAGAAACATGCAAGTGACTGACAGGCGCGCTAGCGCGTACCTTTACTTAGCTGCTCACGAAATGAACTATCTGAGCTTGCTTTCAGATTTCTTCTCTCATTTGGAGAGCTTTGGCGGCAAGGCGCTCTGTGACTACGCAACCTGACTTACAACCACTGCATAGAAACATGCAAGTGGTTGACGGATGTTGACTCCAACAAGTGTTCGGTTTGGGAACTGCCTGCTAGCGCTGAGCTAGCGCGCAGCTAGCGCGCGGAATTGCCTATGTCCTCAGCTTTTTGCCCGCACCCTAGTATTGTCGCACAAGGGGCCACTGCACAGGATGTATGAAATCATCCGCATCTCACATTCCATGCCCCTCCTAGACTAGACAGCCCTCATATTTAATATGAAATTAACTGCAAACTTTCCCACGCTAGTGTCGAGGTAGCGCCAAGCTAGCGCTGCCGGCGGGATTTGCTTGATTGAGGCAGGGGCCCGCTTCAATTCGAAAGAAAAAGAAAAAAAACAACAGGAATTACGCACGTACTGTATACACCTCCTCAGCAGGCTTTTTTGAACGGAATCTATTTGCAATGTGGAACACGGCCTCTCAGAATCAAATTTTCGCTTTGGATAGTGAGGCCTCTAGCTGTGGCCGCCTTGCGATCCCTGGATTACCAGTTGCATGCGGCGGGCTGCCTCCCGCGAGGGTGGAGCAAGCACATTGGATAAGAAACTGCCAACAACCAGTATCAACCAAAACGGAATACCAGCTAAGTAGCTCAATGGATCCGGATGTTTAGATGTACTGCTCGCTGCAGTGGAAGCACGCGACAGGCTGTTCCTTCCAGGTGGCTCCCACTGAACTTTTGTGCGGTCGGCAACCTTGGCTACCACCAAAATTCGGCCAGCGTCATGCCACTGGCTACCATAGACATAGTTTAGCCTGTGTATATGTTCCCTTCCTGTACTATCAAATCCACCCCATTCTTTTTGTTGTAAGTTCAAATATTAATCAAATATTAGATTGTCCGCCTTTCAAACTTGCATATATGGAATTTACAAATGCACACCCATGCTTGATCAATTCCATAAATTCCTTGCTCCCCAGGTTGGACATTTCACGGGGTTTAGCGCTCGGCCAAGGGTGGCACTCCATTTCGATCAGAACTGTACTCGAACCCCCCTTGGGGCCCTATGAATAATCATGTTTTCTCAAACAACAAATAACCATGCGGAGCGAGAGGTCCCGGAATTCATAAAAAGAAACTTCGATTTTTCCATCAATCAAGTGTACTACTTTTCTTTCTGGCACGAGCCCCTGCACTCGAAACTTTGACCAAGGCATGCGTCCGCTCCCCAGGCTCACCCTGTTTCGGGAAGGACACCTACAAGCGTACCAGAGTGCCAGACTTGTCAACCCTTCGGACAACAAAAGCCAGCCGAATCTACCCAACTCCCTCTAACATTGACTAGGCAGTACTGCGTCCCACACACCACATAGTCAAGCAAACGCACGCGCGCGCACACACACACACAAACACGCGCGCACACACAGGCACACCCGCACCCGCACCCGCACCCACCCACACCCACCCACACAAACATACACACACAGAGACACACCCGCACCCACACCCATTCTCACACCCACACCGACACCCACAACCACACACACACACACACAAACACACACACACACAACACACACACAAACACAAAAACAAACACCAACAAACAAACACACAAAAACACAAGCGAACAAACACACGAGCACACATGGACACAAGCACACAAGCGCACAAGCACACAAGCACACAAGCACACAAGCACACAAGCACACAAGCGCACAAGCAAACAAGCACACAAGCACACAAGCGCACCAGCACACAAGCACACAAGCACACAAGCACACAAGCCCACAAGCACACAAGCACGCACACAAACACATGAGCACACACACAAACACGCAAACGCACAAACACAAACAAACACACACGCACAAACACACACTAACACCCAAACACACCAACGCACAAACACACACACACACACACTAACACTAACACGCAAACACACCAACACACAACAAACACACAGAGACACATGTGTGAAACCCCACCCTCCCTGCCAGTACCTTTGTTCTTCACCTCTGCAGATGCCGGTGGTGCCTGAATTGCCCAATTTCTGGTTAGCTAAATTCAAGAGTCATGCTCTGGTGGAGGGGTGGAAATGAGGTACGGCACGTAGGTGCGGTGGGGCGGTGCGGGGGTACGCTTGCGTGGTGCGGTGGTGCGGTGCAGGGTACGCTTGCGTGGTGCGGTAGTGCGGAGTGCGGGTGCGATGAGGTGCGCTTGCGAGGTGCGGTGGTGCGGTAGTGGGGTACGCTTGCGCGCTGCGGTGGTGCGGTGCAGGGTACGCTTGCGTGGCGCGGTGGTGCGGTCCGGGGTACGCTTGCGTGCGTGGTGCGGTGGCGCCTTGCGGGGTACGCTTGCGGTGGTGCGGCGCGAGGTACGCTTGCGTGGCGTGGTGGTGCGGTGTGGCATCGAGTACGCCCAGCGGCGGCCTGCAGATTCTCTTTGTGGGGTGCGTCGCAACTGGCGGATTGAACATATTTTCTGCGCATGCTTCAACTGCCAATTCGAAGGTAGCGTGGGACCGTACCCTTTATCATGTTGAACACCAATTTCCAGGAAAACATTTTCAATTTCCAGGAAAACACCACCAATTTCGATGAAAATACAACATTTCGAGGTACACTTTGTTTTGCTTTTCGGAGAAACCTTTTTGGAGAAAACAAGGCACATAACCACCAATTTTCAGAAAAGCACCACCAATCAATCCCTATGACCTGAACCCAAGGACAAGAAAACACACTTCCCGGAATACATCACCAACCTCCGGGAAAACACCTCCAATTGCACCACCAAAGGAGGAAAACGCTGCAACTGCAAAAATAACACCATGAATTCCGAGATACACCCTGGGATTGTACTGTACCAACACAATTAATGTCCAGGAAACCACCGCTAATTGGACCCCTTTAACTGCAAAAAAAAACACACACATTTCCAGGCAAACATCACCACTGGAAAACACAACCAATTCCAAAGAAAACAAAATTTGCGGAAAAACACCAATTTCCCAAGAAAACTCCACCAATGTAATGTCTAGGAAAACCACAACTTTCAAGGTACACTCGGGGGACCGTACCCATTCTTGAGAATAAACACAAAATTTCCAGGCAAACACAACCAACTTCGAGGAAAACACAACCAATTCCTAGAAAAACACTATCAATTTTGCGGTACACCCTAGGACCATACCCGTTTTTCGAGAAAAAACACAACCAATTTCCAAAAAAACACCACCGATTTCGAGGAAAACACCACCAATTCCTAGAAAAACACCACCAATTTCCAGGTACACCCTGGAACCGTACCCGTTTTTCGAGAAAAAACACCACCAATTTTCAGGAAACCACCACCAATTTCCAGGAAAACACCACCAATTCCTAGAAAAAACACCACCAATTTTGCGGTACATCTTGGGACCGTACCCGTCTTTCGAGAAAAAACACCACCCAATTTCCAGGAAAACACCACCAATGTCTAGGAACCCACCCGTTTTTCAAGAAAAAAACACCACCAATTTCCAGGAAAACACCACCGATTTCGAGGAAACCACCACCAATTCCTAGGAAAACACCGCCAATTTTCAGGTACACCCTCCGGACCGCTCTTTTTTCGAGAAAAAAACAATCACAAAAAACACCCCAGGCCTAGGCCCGTACCAACCGTACCCCCAGCACCGTACCAACCGTGCCCCCACACCGTACCAGCCGTACCCCCGTACCGTACCAGCCGTACCCCCGTACCGTACCATCCGTACCCCCGCGCCGTACCAATAAGTTGGTTGTGTTTTTCCTAGAATTGGTTGTGTTTTCCCAGGAATTGGTCGTGTTTTCCTGGAATTGGTTGTGTTTTTTTGTGAAAAAGAGGTACGGTTTTTGGGGTACGGTTGGTACGGTTTTTGGGGTACGGTTGGTACGGTACGGGCGTACGGTTGGTACGGTTTTTGGGGTACGGTTGGTACGGTACGGGCGTACCGTTGGTACAGTACGGGGGTACGGGGTACAGTGCGGGGGTGCGGTTTGCACGGTACGCGAAATTGGTAGTTTGTCCTGAAAGTTGGTGGTGATTTCCTGGAAATTGGGTGCTTCTTTTTGTATGTACTTCGAAATTGGTTGTGTTTTCCTGGAAATTCGTAATGTTGTCCTGAAAGTTGGTGGTGTTTTCCTGGCAATTGGTTGTGTTTTTGTTTGTTGTGTTTCTGAAACATTTATGTGTTTTCCTGGAAATTGGTTTTGTTTTCCTGGAAATTGGTTTTGTTTGCCTGAAAATTGGTGGAGGGTACGGTCCCGTTTTCTTGGACATGTCTGGTGCTTTCCTAGAGTGCGATCACGAAACAAGATTGGTGGTGTTTTTCTTGACATTGGTGGTGTTGATCTGAAAAATTGGATTTTTGTGTGGAAGCGTGTTTTTGTGATCTTTCGATAAAATAAAGGTACGGTCCCAGGGTGCGAAGCTTTCTGGAAATGCGTAGTGTTTTCCTGGAAACTGGTCGCGTTGTCCTGCAAATATGTGGCGCTTTCCTGAGAATGATTCGTGTTGTTGTCTCGGCAACAAGCTACGCTAACTTGAAATTGGCGGTGTTTTCATGAAATTAGTGGCATTTCCCTGGAATTTGGGGGTGGTTTCCTCGAAATTGGAGCGGTTTCCTCGAAATTGGTGGTGTTTTCTTTGAAATTGGTGGTATGTTTTTGACAGGAACGGCACGGTCCCTGGCTGGTGATGTTTTCTTGGAAATTGACTCTAAAGCAAACATGATATAGTCCCAGTTGTGTTTTCCTGGAACTTGATTGCGTTTTCAATCAAACTCGGCCCCAAGCCCTCTCCCCCACCCCCTCCGAATATTTGACGAAAAACACTGGGCAATCCTGAATGAGGTCAGACCACATTAAAGCAGACCAACACAACAGCAGTCCACACCCATCACACCGGCAGATCATACCCATCACACCAGGACCGCAACCCTCTCACCAGCAAACCTCCGCACCCATCGTGCCAGCAGACCGTACCCATCGCACCAGCAAACCACACCCATCAGACCGAACCAATGCACCACCAGACGGTACCGTCGCACCGGCAGACCGCACCTGTCGCACCAGCAAACCGTACGCATCGCACCAGCGGACCGCACCCATCGCAGCAGCATACCCAGCGCACCGACAGACTGTACCTATTGCACCAGTGCAGACCGCACCCATCCCGCAAGTACTCATCGCACCCGTCGCACCAGCAGACCGTACCCATCGCACCGTCAGAGCGCACCCATCCTACCAGCGCCATGCACCTATTGCACCACCAAACCATGCCTATCGCAGCAGCAGACCGTACTCATCGTGCCAGCAGAACGCACCAATCACACAAGCAGTGCCCATCGCACCCGCAGACCGTACCCATCGCACCAACAGCCCGCCCATCGCACCTGCAGACCGTACCCGTCGCACCGTCAGACCGCACCCATCGCACCAGCAACCGTACCGATCGCACCAGCAGACCGTACCCACCGCACCAGCAACTGTACCCGTGCAACCGTACCCCTACATTCCAAGTCACCAGAACCACCCCTTAGCATGACTCTCGGATTTAGATAAATTTCTGGGCTGCGTGAATTGCATGCTTCTCTCCAAGCGAAACTCTCGCACTGCCCAATCCTCACCTCCCTGCATCGCGCAGTGCGACGCACTTCTTGCAACTTACCTCCACTTCGGGGTCGGTGACGTAGATGTAACATGCAAACTCAAATGACCAACCGCACGT